CACCAAAAGTTGAATATAATCATAATATGCTTGGGCCCCCCCCCCCCCCCCCCCAAAAAAACGCTTTCGTTCGTACTCATACCGCGTCAAATCCGCGTGCTTTTACAAAATCCTGACTCTCCCGGTCACAGGACACTTCGACTTCCTGCTCGATGGTCGTCATCATATGTATCCTCCCGCTGGGTAGCACCTCCCGCTTCGCCGACGGGGTGCGCGCGAGCTCAATCTCGTCGAAATTCATCCCGTCCGTGCCGACACAGGTGCTCCGCGTGAATTTCCGCTCGCACGCGCCGGAGTCGAGCGAGCGGCCGAAGGCTTCGAGGCTGGTCTCGCTCTTGTTGTCCTGGCTGTAAGACCGCGAGACCAAGTTTTTGATCTTGCCGAGTTTGATGGGGCTCGTACGGTGGTGGTGGTGATGGGGGGCGTTTTCGGTCTTGTTCGTGGTGCCGTTGGGGGGATTGTTGGCGTTGCTATGGCTCAGGCCCTCGCGAGCGCGAGAGCCGCCTGTGAAGGAGTATTGCTGACTCTTGTTGAGGAGTTTGGGGAAGATGCAGCGGAGGGTGGGGAGACAGGAGCAGATGATCGCGGTGTTGACTTCGACGTTGGACCAGATTGCTGCGAGGGGGTTTTGCCAGCTGATGTCGGTCGCGCGCTATGGATTGTTTGTTAGAACGGAGGTAATAGAAGACAAAATCGTTTTTGCGGGAAGACCTACGGAGACCGCGTAGAGGGCTTCCAGGCGTAGGATGGAAGTGATGCAGGTGACTGTTAGGGACAGGTCAGTGGGAGTACTCTGCAGAGCAACAGTCGTGTACGTACAGCCACCGAGAGCAAAGACTATCACGAGAGCCCGCCGTTGACGCCTCGGGAGCTCCAATTGTCCAAGGACCGGGAGCGGGAGGATTGCAGTCATGAGATCGGTGCTAATGTTTATACCTGCATTCGCAAACCTATTTGAACCCGTTAGTTCGAACCCACTTAACACGGAGTATACGGTCTAACTCACCATACAGCAAACTTATCCAAGCATTTCCCGCCCTCGATGGAAGTATCCCAGAAGTAGGCGATTGGGTGGCAGAAGAAGACGCTCGTACAGAATACGGCGATGGAGTACGCCACCACAGCTGCGAGGACAATGTAGCAAGCTATGCGGAACTTCTTCTGGGGAAAAATTCGGAGGTATTGGGTCAGGATGGATATCTTGGGATTCCGTCAATGGACCGAGTCAAGGATGGTGGAGTGGCGAGCTCACCTTGGTACATGACAGAGATAGATTGTAAAAGACTATGGACACGTAGAATGCCTTGAGCATGACCGGCAGCTCGGAAGGAGTGATCGTGTGCGCATGTCGGCTCATTCCATTGGCCACCTGGATGAACATGGCTATGGTGGTTGCGACGGCGAATATCTGCACTGAAAGTTAGCATGCCAGTTTGCTGCTCTTCGTCTGGAGTCCGTCTTCCTCCTACCCAAGAGAACGAGATTAGAAGATCATCCCATCCTGCATTTTTCGAGACGCCCAATCTTGCGTAAAGCCTCATCGAGACGGCTATGAAGGATAACACCGTCATCGTCGCCGTCACTGCTTCGGTCGTACCACCAGAAGCGTGTCCTGATACGCCCATATTGCTCCCCAAAACTCGCGAATGTCGTCCGTGGTATGGGCAAATCGATCAATCTAGAGCGCCATTCGGATCGTCGCAATTGTCGTGCAGATGCGGTATTGGTGACGGTGACACGACATCTATCCCGTGAAATGGTTGCCGTCTGTACCTTCTAGAAAGGCGTTCTAGTGGCCTGTGTTTCTGCCAACCTCTCAAAGTCTGCGCAGCGCTCCGCCTCAATGTGCCATAAGCTGCCGACAGATAGATAATCAACAAATGGGGATGAAACCCAGATCACGAAAAGAAGAGGGTGGCCAGACTCGTGACAAGTTCGCCTCTTGCATCCACAGCATCCGGAACGAGAAGCTCCAATGCCTGTCCATGCATCCGCGTCAACAGGTACAACGGATCCATGACTCAAGACCACACAACCCAGAAAGCGTCTGCCGTGCGTAGCACAAGCTGCACCCGGCTGCTCGGAGTAGACTGAGGTTTGATGTCGCATGGTTCTTCATTTTATCTCCGAACAGCAGAAGGGAGGCGCCCAGCGCGTGTGTCATCTGGAGTAGTGGAAACTCTGCAAAGACAAGCACGCACTATCTTGCAATGGTCGCTTTAGCATGAACTCAACTCCTGCTGCATTGCTCTGCTTCCTCGTCAGAAGAACAGGCTTCAAAGGTCGCTGTTCGAGAGAAGACTGGTAAGCTCAGAAAGAAGTTGCTCGGCTGAAGAAAGCAAAAAAGCCACGAGATAGACGCGAGCGGTTAACAAGCTTTGCAGGGTCTCTCCGTGTGGACGGTGGACTTGGGGAAGTTTCAAAGCAACACTGCTGTGCAAAAACCGGGTGCATTATTGCTATCGACCGGGTACAATTTGTCACCTAGATGCGTGGTCGGATATCCTGGGTTGTCCTCAACCAAATCCGGTCTGAAAGGCGGTAGATCAAAGCAAAATGCTGATCACGCAAAATGCACTTTTTGACTTGGGATTTTTGAAACACGTAGTCGAGATCTGTACGCAAAGTTAGTAGTATCGTCAACTTCGGACCCTCTAGCTTCAGATGGTAAGACAATCGTGCACGGCCGAATTTTGTCTAGGAAACGCCGAACTGCACGCAGTCTTTCGATACTTAGTTTCTGCTTCCTGCTGTGACGAAGTGAAGCCGATCAAAGCTTGTAACCAAAGCATGTAACCAAAGCAAAGGCGACCGGGTCGATAGCTGTCGATACATACATATGACAAAAGAAAAGATTGGGTATCTTCCGCATAAAACGCCTCGTGAAGGCACGATGGTGAGACTGTGGTCCTCCCGGCTCAGCTTGAACCGTCGAGCATGCATACTCGCAAAGAAAAGAGTTCGGCCTCTACTTCACGAGCAAATCGAAAGCTCGCGAGGGATTAGTCCGTTGTGGCTGGATCACGGACGGTCTAGATTTGGAGACTCCCATGCTCCAGGCGAAGTGTCGGATCGTTCAACGTGCTCCTGAATGTGCTCCAACTGGTGTTCCGCATGTGCGCTGGGCGATGGCGATCGGTCGCCATTCCGACGGAATTCGTCTTCCACATGCGCCTTGATCTTCGAGTTCAGGAGCCCGACAATCCTGTCAGATGCTTGATCCAGCAGTCGAGCCATTGTGGCCTCGTCCAGACTCTTGCCATGGGACTTCTCTCCGACTGCCCTAGCCGTCAGTTTTAGCTCCCTCTCCAGCTCCTTGAGCGCATCTGGCGTGATTCTTTCCGAGGATGAAGATGATGCCAGCTTCTTGCGGTAGGCACGGAGAGTTCGGCATACTGATTCTGTGGAGGCGGTCAAGCTTCCAAAGCCAGTTGCATGTCCACTTGTAGATCCACCAGTATTTAAGATATTCTCGCTGCTTTCGGAGCGCAGAGACATTCCTAGAGAAGGCTTGCGATCTTTCCTCCCAGTATGTCGTGGACTAGGCGGTGAAGGTGAGCGCTGAAAAACGCTTCGTCGGCGCGATGACTCAAAATTTGAACGAAACATTGGCTCCAGTCGGGGTGCCTGCGCCAGTGATGTCCTCGATGTCTTTTTGCGGAGCTTTTGCGGTGACGACGGCTGACTTGCAGCCCCTGCGGCAGGTGGGGAAGGAGAATCTACCTCCTCTGCAGGGCGATTGCGGAAACGGGACATCTCGCTGTATGAAATGACCTTACGCAGAGGCGGATGGAGCAGAGGGGCATTTGTTGTAGCCTTTGCGTCTGCACCGTCGATACTTGCCTCCGCTTTGCCTGCTATCCCAGCTCGAGACACGGCATTGTCCCAGAGGAAGATAGTTGAATCCGCTGCTACGGTCACGAGCTGTGGCGTAAAGGACGGCGAATTGCGTCCCATGCTCGGAGCCGGTACGAAAGCTGCGTCGGTAATTCCCTCTGTATGACCCCAGTCTCTGGCCATCAAGCTTCCGTATTCAGAATACAATCGCACTGACTTATCACTGCTTGATACGCCTGCAATGGTCGGGTTGCCGTTGAGCGAAGGAGCGTATAATATTTTGGACATAACGACTGCGTCTCCTCCATCGTTGTCTGAGCATTTGAAGCTGAAGCCTGATTGGCCGTTCCTAATGCTGTGTTTCGATATGCATCGATCGCCCACGGTCGAGACCAAGATCATGTCTTCCTGGGCGGTAAGACACATGCTGCTTGGAGATGACTTCAACGTGATAGCCCGTACCATAGCAAAGGCCAAAGTAGTGGGATCTTCTGGGCTCCGAAAGATGCACTCTCGGACCACAATCGAGCGGTCTGCGGAGCAGGACATGAGATTTTCGCCGTCGCATGACAGTAGCAGCCCAGTAACTGCACCCGCATGCTCGTCCATTGTCTGCAGCAATTCCAGCTTGCCACCTCTGCAACAGAATAATTGTACAGTTCGATCGCGACTCGCAGAAACGAGATATTGACTCCCGCCACGTTCGAATGAAAGCAGATCCAATACTTCTGCCGAGTGCCCTCGAATGCGATGAAGTACACGCCTCGTGGCGAGGTCTGTGAGTACCAGCGTACCGTATCGATCGCCCGAGACTAGCACAGCTCCCCCTGACAGCATAGCAACAGCCTTTAGCTCGTTTTGCAGTCCATACATCTCTGGCGAGTCTTGAACAGACACTGCAAGCCCGTCCACTATAGACACACCATGGTCATTCCAAAAGTGAACTTTTCCATCGCTTGAGAAGGATAGGAAAGCAGCAGCCGGATGTGCGGTAGAGCATACGGCTTGTACCCCAAGGACAGCGCCTTCATGTGCCGTCATTTGACGTGTCGCGCGTGTGTGAGAGCTCTTCATATCTGATGTTGCCGCGGAGATCCTGATGACTCGGTTTGAATCGACTTCTACCAGGGCATCGCCCACAGCAGCGAACGCTGTCGTCGTTATCGCACCAGGCTGAGACGTCTTTGCTGGTGATTCAGATTGACGCCTAATCTTCGCTGTCGTCGCCGCCAGTCTTTTCAGATCCGCGAGGAGAAACGAGGCAACATCGCCGTCACTCCCCGCAGCATGGAGCATTCCGTTCGTATCCAGCCGTGCCGCGGTGATTCGAATGCCTGCATTCGCGGCGAGAGTAAGGGATTGCATCTTCTCGCTGTCGTCCAGGAGAGCGATTTCGCCAGTTTCTGCACATATCACGGCTTTGGAATCAGAGTAGCCCATCACAGAGGTGAAAATCCCTTCTAGTAAGTCTCCAAGGAGACAATTTTTCCCGGCCAGTGTGCGGTGTCTAGGAGTCAGTATGCTATTTCCAAAGTCGGAGAGTCTGTTCTCTTTGTGCCTCGGAGTCGTCAGTGTAAAGGCACGAGGCGCTTCAGACACGCGGCTATCGCCATACTCGTCCGGTCTCCAAACTTTGACGAACCGCAGGCCCACCGTGACAATGCATCGACCCATCCATGCCATATCGTGCACCAGTGTAGTGCATTTATTGCTGGCAGATAGTGTCGCTGTGCCTGTCCGATCGTCGATGTTCCACACATAGATAAAGCCATCATTGACGGTGCCTAATGATGCCAAGGACTTCGAATCCGGGCTGAAGCTAAGTGCATGTACGCCGAAAGTATGCTCTACCACTATTGAGACGGGCGTTTCGGACGAGCCATCCTTCAAGGAGAAGACCAAGATCCGCGGTCTGTACCCAGTCTCTCCCACGGCAAGCCATTTACCGTTCGGGCTCAGCGACACAGACGACGCAGCCTTGACGCGATCCCTCGCGGACGTTGTCTTACCAGGCGAATCGGCCCAATCTCGAGTTGTAGAGTTGCTGGGAGAGGAATTGGTGTTTGGATCCTTAAGGTGTCCTACTGTTCGATGTCGCGGTTCGTTCGGGGTCGGTGTGCCCGGCCGGGCGCTATGCAGATCTCTAGCTCCATAAGCAGAACTTGGGTTGGCGCGGAAGAAGTGCTGAGTGATATTCAGGTCCTTGTCCACCGTCGCAACCACGGCTGCAGCACCTGCAGTCACTGCGAATCTGCCTGCAGCAGCCGAGAAGCCGGTAGCAGAAGCAGTTGTCGTGCCAATGACCTTTCTGAGACGCAGACCAGGCTCTTCTTGTCGCCCGTTTTTGATAGGAGATCGTGGAGTGGGAGATTTGAAGAAGGGCGAATTGGAGGGCGTGAGTCGTAAAGCTGGATGGTGAGAAGTCATGCTTCCCCAAATGAACGTCGTCGACTATGCCACCTGCAGCACGCGAGTAGGTTGATTAGCGTGCGATGCAAAGGGAGATGCGTTGAACGGGCCGTTGGCTTTCGGAAGACATACGGTAGTCGGGGTGAATGCCAGCTCAACGCAGGTGATTGTGTCATTGCCCAAGCAACATGAATGTGACTTGGTCCTCTCACTCTTCTCAATGCCGTGTCGAGGAATGCGCGTCGAGGCACCTCAGTCCCGGCTGTTTGACGAGGTGTGAATGGATCCTTCCGGGAGAGCTAGACGCGGCGCGCCTGCCAGAATTGCCCACGGAATACCATCGCTGCTCCTTGGCGAAAACCCGAATGTCGTCAATGCTATCGAGCGTGGTGAGACGGATGTTGTGGTGAGCATGTCGGCGAAACAGCAGACACTTCCAGATTGACTTTCACAACAACAGCCCCGCCGTTCCACTCAAGCCATTGGCTTCTCGGAGAGCTCCGAGGGTGCAGCGTAGGATCTACCAAGTAAGAACGCGACACATTTAGGGCAAGTCAACAACATCCTCTGCCTCTTCGTATCAGCGTGCTACTGTGTACCCAGCCTGAGGGATTGCAGGTTGAACACATCCAGCACTGTGCATCAGCTCATCCCACGTAGGGCAGACTTAGTCGATCTCGCTCGAGTCCGCGAAGATGCGAGAGACGACTGCACGTGACTCCGAGTCAGAGTCTAGCGCCATCTGATATCGGCCCTGACATATCCGAATGGAGATCTTCATGTGTTCATGCAGTCCACAGTGAGTCCACTGTCGATCTCAGGCGGCCACCTATCTTACATACCTCCTCTTCATCAATCTGCTCACTACTCCCACGCTACGGACACGGCCATGCCAAACGCTCAGAAGGACCATGCTCCGTCGCCGCCGACGATGAGGCAGTAAGCAGCACGTGAAACTTGGTCCCGAGCTTCTTGACCTCCTTTGACGTGGATCGATCATCGTGCTGGCCGTCAAGGCCCTTATCGCGTCCAATAGAAGTCCTCCCAAGGAGCATTGCCCGAACAGTACGACTATTGACATCCACTGGCATGGACACACGATTGCCTCTGGACGATCACTTCCTGCTGGCGCCTTTTTGAGTTGGATCGTATACGAGATCCTCCACGCATCCAGGTCTATGTCCTCGCTTTCGTACTGTGGTACCATGCGTTGAGGCTCCGGAGAGATCATCCATCCGGCTTGTCGTTTTATGAAAATCTTCCGCATTCGGGTTCGCCGACGGATGTGTTCCTTTGGATCAATAGCAGCCCATCTACGGTGTGACTGCTTCTCTGTGACTCTTCACAATCGAATCGAATCCAAGGCTCTATTCGTCATGCAGTTACCAGGATGTCCCTTGCACCGTCAAGATACTGCTAATGGAAAGTGCGCTGTCAATCTTCCAAGTACCAGTGATTTGGATGTCTGGCGCATACGAAATACGAAGACACGTTGGTTCCTGGCAGGCATAGCGGCACAGGAGGCGAGATCCTCATCTCGCCAGGTGTGATGCATTTGCGAGTCGCAGTCGCTCGATTGCTTTGCTGCCGTTTCGCTCAAGCGTTGGGACTTGTCTCGACTTGGACAACGCCGTCGAGGCATGAATATACAAGAGATGAGACCACGAGATAAGACATCCGCGACACGCAGTGCTGATGTGGGATGAGACGGCCGAACAAGTCAATGATCATCCGGACTTTTGACTTCTGAGCCTCACTCCGAGCCGCGAGTGACGGATTTTCGAAACGGTAATGTTCAATATGGCCAAGAGATGAAAGCTAGCGTGGGAAGCGTACGTCAACGTCGGACATCAAACGAGCAAGCGGAGGGAGAACCGCAATGGAAGACATATAAGAGGACCATTCAAGCTGGTGCCTCTATTCATTCATCTTCATCGACACCAGTCTTCTGCACAGCAAAACTCGACCCATCTCCGATCCGGCTCATCAAATACTCAACCACCACCACCACCACCACCATCATGCAGTTCCTCGTCCTCGCTCTCGCCGCCACGGCAGCTGCCCGGGCAACCCTCTCGACGCGGGCCAGCGTCTGCCCAGCCATTGACACACCTCAGTGCTGTCAACTTGACGTTGAAGGTGTTGTCGACACTCCCTGCGAGACCCGTATGTGCCCATGCCCATCTTCGGCCTCTGCCTGATCAAGGAAGACTGACTTGCGCTCTCTACGCAGCCGACGATGCCACCACCAAGGCCGCTTTCGAGGCGTCTTGCGCTGCGACCGGATACACCGCAATGTGCTGCACTCTCCCAGTGGTACGCCCTTCCAGGTTGAATAAAAAGTTCTCTGTGCGAATGCTAACGATATTGTGACCAGGGTGGCGACGCACTGCTCTGCAGCGCACCATAAAGACGTTTGTGAGGCATGGAATGAGAGGCTCTCAAATTTCGGATAATGTATATTGTATATTGGCATGCCAAAGGGTTGTCATAAGGAGGCAGCCGGAGGACCTTGGCTGACAAGCGCAAGGGTTTCTTATGTACGATATGGAGATATCATTCCCAAACAATCATAATCTTCGATGCCATGCAGTACTTCATATCGTTTGATCAAGGACGGAGAAAGCATTAGCTTGTCTCCTTACCTTCACTACTAAGCTACTCAAGGAGTAGTTCCTCCATGGGGAATTTTGAGGCACGTGACAGAGGCCCAGAAGAGCGGGAGCAGCCGTCGGCGGTGAGAGAATTGAAGGGTCCACGGTGTTCGGCGAACGTCCAGTGCAATGCCATCTCCACCGACGCACCCATCACCACGACCGGCACGCACAGCACAGCAGTGGCGCGTAGCCCGGAAGTCGGTAGCATCTTGCCCGACCGGCATCCCACATTGGACGCACGATCGAGTTGTACAGAGCTATCGGCCTGACCCTCCTGACCCCGGACGGCAGCGCCTCATCAATGGCTCCTCGTGCAGAGAGCGGGAGTGGTGTGGTGTGCGGGCACGACCTCAGGCAGGGTGCGTGTCGCGTGGAGCGTGAAGCGAGACGGGTAGAGTCCGGCAGAGATGATGAGGGGTGAGCGAGCGGTTTGCCCGGCATGCATGGGAGCGGAGCCGCATTGGCAACGTTCCGGTTGCTGTGAGTTCTCACATGTGCCGCCGTCGTGCGCGTGCGGGCGTGGCGAGGGCAGAAGGAGGAGGACGGGAGGTGTTTACGGTCGAAGGGATACAATACACATCAGCGACACGAGACGCCAAGAGGCGAGAACGCAGAGAGGACCTGTGACCCCGCCTTCCGCCTTCCCGCCTTCCCGCCTTCCCGCCTTGCCGCCTCCCGCCTCCCGCCTCCCGCCTAGGTGCCCCTCCAGAGCAGCAACCTTGAAGTGACGCAAGCGGAACGCGGTGCTGGAAAACGGACGCCCGACCGAGCACAGAGCAGAGGCTTCGGGCACAGCAGCAGCCCTGCGCTCTTCCCCCTCGACCTCTCTGCGTACCTCCTAATAAGGTACATGTACTGCCAAACTTGCCTCCTCCCGTGGCACCTGGCTTGGCTGGCCGCAACTGGACGTAAGGTAATTTCAAATCCTGGCAATCGCACTGGCACCAGACTGTGGGTCGCTACGGTAGGCTGGCTCCAGATCACCCATACACAAATAATAACGAACCTCGGAAACGCTGCTACGCCCCTACGCCCCTACGCCCCTACGCCCGTCCACCCGAACTTCTAAACCCCCACCACCGCAGTGCTACCACAGCTACTGCTACTACTTCTCCTGCTGCTGCCGTTCTCTCTTCCTCTTACTAACCATCTCTCCCCTCTCCTCTCTCCCGTGCAATTTTTCGTGTCGATTCCGGACCACAGCGAGTCGAGTACTGCAGAGAGCACCTCCACCATGTCCGAGGGCAACGTCCAGCCGCCCCAGGGCGTCCCCGAGTCCCACCATGCTCAGACCTACCCAGTCCCTTCGGGATTCATGAAGTGCGTTTCTCCAACACTCTATCCAGATCCTGCAGTGTTGACTTTTGGCGCAGGAAGCATCCAAAACAGCCCCACATCGAGTCCATGGACATGTACAAGGAAATGTACAACGAGTCCATCACCCAACCCGATCAGTTCTGGGGTACCAAGGCGCGAGAGCTCTTGACTTGGGAGCAGGATTTCCAGACCGTCCACACAGGCACACTGGCCGGCGGTGACAATGCCTGGTTCCTCGAGGGCCGACTGAATGCCTCCTACAACTGCGTGGACCGTCACGCGGCCAAGAACCCGAACAAGCCAGCCATCATCTACGAAGCCGACGAGAAGGGCGCGGGCCGCACAATCACCTACGGAGAGCTCCTCCGCGAAGTCTCGAAGCTAGCCTGGACGCTCAGCCAGATGGGTGTGAAGAAGGGTGACACCGTTGCCCTCTACCTGCCAATGATTCCCGAGGCTGTCATTGCCTTCCTCGCCTGTACTAGAATTGGTGCAGTGCACTCGGTGGTATTCGCCGGTTTCAGTGCCGACTCTCTGCGAGACCGTATCATCGATGCCAAGTCCAAGGTCGTTCTGACCACCGACGAGGGCAAGCGTGGAGGCAAGCTGATTGGCACCAAGAAGATCGTGGACGATGCACTGAAGCAGTGCCCCGATGTGACACACTGCCTGGTCTACCAAAGGACGGGTGCTGACGTTCCCTGGACAAAGGGTCGGGACTACTGGTGGCACGAGGAAACCGACAAGTGGCCTGCGTACTACCCACCCGAGAGCATGAACTCTGAAGACCCGCTTTTCCTGCTCTACACCTCGGGCTCTACTGGCAAGCCTAAGGGTGTCATGCACACCACGGCAGGCTACCTCTTGGGAGCGGCGATGACTGGCAAATATGCCTTTGATATTCACGATTCTGATGTCTTCTTCTGTGGAGGTGACGTGGGTTGGATCACAGGACACACCTACGTTGTTTACTCGCCGCTGGTTCTCGGTGTAGCGACTGTTGTCTTCGAAGGCACTCCGGCCTACCCAGACTTCAGCAGATACTGGGATGTGTGCGAGCAGCATGCAGTCACACAATTCTACGTTGCACCAACCGCGCTCCGATTGTTGAAGCGGGCGGGCGACGAGCACGTCAAGCACCAGATGAAGTCGCTGCGTGTGCTTGGCTCTGTTGGCGAGCCAATCGCACCCGAGGTCTGGAAGTGGTACCACGAGATTGTCGGAAAGAACGAGGCACACATTGTGGACGTAAGTGCCGGGAAGCCGAGCTCAGTACTATTATGAGCTTCGTGTTGCAAACGACTGACCTCGCGTAACAGACATACTGGCAAACCGAGACCGGCTCGCACGTCATCACGCCCCTTGGTGGTCTCACTCCCACGAAGCCCGGATCCGCCTCTCTCCCCTTCTTCGGCATCGAGCCCGCGATCATCGACCCAGTCAGCGGCGAGGAAATCAACGGCAACGACGTCGAGGGCGTGCTCGCCTTCAAGCAGGCATGGCCCTCGATGGCACGCACCGTCTACGGCGCGCACAAGAGATATATGGATACGTACCTGAACGTGTACAAGGGATACTACTTCACGGGCGACGGCGCAGCCCGCGACTTCGAGGGCTACTACTGGATCCGAGGGCGAGTCGACGACGTGGTCAACGTGTCCGGCCACCGTCTGTCCACGGCGGAGATTGAAGCCGCGCTGATCGACCACCACGCCGTGGGCGAGGCGGCGGTCGTCGGTATCAACGACGAGCTCACCGGCCAGGCCGTCAATGCCTTCGTGTCGATTAAGGATGGGAACGAAATCAACGACGCGCTGAAGAAGGACTTGATCCTGCAGGTCAGGAAGTCGATTGGGCCCTTCGCGGCCCCCAAGGCGGTCTTCATCATCCCCGACCTGCCCAAGACCCGATCGGGCAAGATCATGCGCCGTATTCTGAGGAAGATTCTGGCCGGCGAGGAGGACCAGCTCGGGGATACTTCGACGCTGGCTGACCCTTCGGTCGTGGACAAGATCATTGAGAACGTGCACGACGCCAAGGGCAAGAAATAGACGGGGTCTTTTTTTTGGGGGGAATGATGTGCTGATAGTGAAGACCTTTTTATGCTTATCAATGTTGGATGTGGAATGCTGTGGGCGCCTTTGCGAAGGTCTGTTTGGGGGGTAGGTACCATCGAACTCAGCTGGGACAAGCTTCTGGTTCTTGTCAGGCAGGGCAAGTCAGCCTGTCTTGCTGCTGCTTTTTCCATAACGCACCTTTGTCCATAACGAACTTTTTTCTTCCCCTCGTGACAGACACACCATCGTCGTCCATTCTTCATCTTTTGATCCCTATCCGAAAACATCTCACGCAATCGTGATCCGACTCAGAGTCTCCCTCGCAGTGGTAAGCTTCAACCCAATCCTCGCATCCAAATCAAAACTCTCCCACTTCTCGACCACTCTCAAATTCTCACTAGCCTTCTCCAAAAGGTCTCGATCGCCATCCTGTCCGCCGGCCTGGTGCCAAGCACAGACGCTCAATTCATAATACGCGACCGGGGTCGGCCAGTTGTCCGCGTGATCGCAGGCTTTGATCTGATGCCATTCGTAGCAGAGGACACCTTCGCGTAGGAGGTCCTGGGCTTCGGAGATGCGGCCGAGGCCGCGGAGACAGGTAGCGCGGAGGAGAGCGGCGATGGCGAGTTCGTCGGCGGGTTCGGAGGATGAGATGGGAGAGGGGGAGGAGGAGGACAGGCGTTGGAGGGAGGCTTGCAGTTGGTCTTCGGACATGCGTTTGAAGCCGGACCAGAAATAGCTATTTTCAGAGACGGAGGGTCAATTGAGATTTCTACTACGGGTAAACATGATTATCGGATGGACTCACATCATTTCCTCGATTGGACTGACGCCGACGGCATCGATGAGATCGCAATTGCGTGTTTTGGCTCGGTGGGTCCATTTCGCTATTTTGCGATTGATGAAGACGTCTAGTGGGAGTTGCCGGGCCATGAGACGTTTCTTCCCCGTGTGGGCTGTGACTTTGCCTAAGATCGCAGTGGCGGATTCCTTGTGCTCGGTTGCCTTCTCCGGATCGGAATCCTGGCACGAGCGGTATAGCTCAACGTGACAGCAACCAGCAATGTAGTAGTACAATCCATGAGACCAGTTGTTGAGCTTGATACACTTCAAGAACGAGTCGGCGCATTCTTGATAGCGATGGAGAAACATGCAAACCAAGCTTGTCTCGAATACTCTTAAAGCCTCGACCTGCTTCAAGGGCGATTGCGTGGGATTGTTCGTGAGTATGTCGAGTGACCTTTCCAGCTTTCGCTGAGCGCACGACATGCCAGACTCCTGCAGTACCCACATTGCAGATTTGGGATACAACGACCGCATGTCAGTTAGCAGAGCATGCAACCGAGCTTCAGGCAAGGCCTCTCGGCTGTGGATATCACACAAGGCAACTGCGGCATTGTGGTATCCGAGGACGAGCAATGCTGCCATCGCGCCATTGATGTTCGCCTTGAACGATGTGGCTCTCCAGAGCAGTCGGAGTCCTGTTTCACGATCTCCTCGAAAGGACAGGATGGAAAGGAGTTTGGAGAAAGCCGGCGGAATCATGGAAATCATGAGCTGTAAGAGACCGTAGCAGAGCGCCGTGCCCGAGTGGATATAGAGATCGATCGGATCCGATGTGAGTTTTTTGAAGTCCAGCTCGTCCTCTGCTTGCGCTGCCGACTCTGCAGATTCGCCATTTCCGAAGTCCTGGGCGCTTTCCCCATTCGAGTGGGCTTTGACGTCTTCGGATTTCTGAATCTGTATCTTGGACACATCGGGCAGGTCTAGATGGCCCTGGTAGTCAATTGGGGTGGGTTGTTCACTCAAGCCCTCTTCCGCATCTTTGAAATCCAAATCGTCGTCTTTGTCCCCGGCGCGATCTGGAGGAGGCTCGTCGTTCGTTCGCTGTGCCGGAAGTCTTGTGCTTGAGCTCGGAGTTGACTGCGCCGTACTAGAAGTAGCCAAAGAAGACTTGGAGCTTGATTTGTACTTTTCCAGATATCGGTTCTCGGCCTCGACAATCTCTTGTAACGTCCCAAAGGCTTTCCGCAATTTGTAAAACCCTCGCAAGCTCTCCGTGAGACTCTCACTGAGGACAGCGATGACGGCAGACATGAGCTGGCTCTCCGCATTCACGAGGGCAAACTCGGCTCCTATCGGGTATATCTTGCTCTGATGCGCAGCGGATGGACTCCGGATTGCGCGTCGATGGTGCTCACTGGCCGACTCTTCGGTATCCGCAAGTCTGACGCCTGCTTGCTCCATGATCTCTTTCTCGAAGCCTAGGGTTGCTCTGAGGAATAACAATGTCGAAGATCCGAGCTACTTTGACCTCGGCGATCAGCTCAGGCGAGCGGGAGGTCCATTGGCTACTATCTCGCACCTTATGGAATGGCGAATTGCCTTTGCTGAGTTCTGTTTCGGCGAGATCGACCTCTGGTGCTCCCGTCAGTACGTGCTGACACGCGGAAGGACACAAGGCATATACCATCATTCATGATCAGGCTCGCGGCTCGCAGCATCTCTTCTACTGCACTCCGTCAGTCTCGAATCCCCGTCTGCCGCCAAAAAGGTGTGCGTGTCTCACAGGCATGTGGCTCGTCGAGGGCTGTCAGCGACCTGCTGGGGCCCAGGCTGGATTTGGATGAGGTTGAGAACCATCCTCCCATCCGCTTCATGGCCATGGTGGTGGGTGGGACGCAGCGTAGGGACAATGTCCGGCAAGTGTAGTGTGATGGAGATCCAGAGTCCGTGTGTTGCTGTAGCATTGCATGACGGCGACGCGGCTCGCTCACGGGCGGAGTTCGCCTTTGTCATCACATCCTTCCGCCATCGCCATCGTCATCGTTATCAACAGACAACATCGCCGTGTCCGCCATCAAGGACCTGTCGAGGAGAGTGAAGCAGGTTGTGGAGCAAAGATGAATCACAAGATCTGTAAAGCCGTTTCACTGCCAAGCATGGGATCCTCGCGACACGAACATCACCCCCTCAGCATCATCCGGCCGAAGAGGGTATGGAGATTCATATACATTAAATCTTCGATATCGATCCTCTCTCCTATCTACTCCTTGCTCTCGTGTTCTAGCTTGACTGCTTCTCTAGAAACTCGCCAGTGGTCTCATTCCCAATCGCTGCGAGCACCTCTAGGAACTCTTCCCCTTTTCTTCAGGGGAAAGAAGGCCGTCCACCGAGCGATGAAGATCGGTATGCTGATGACCGTCCTCGCTAAGAATGAAGCGGACTCCGACACCTCGAAGATTCGCGTCCGGGCTGGTGTCCGCGATCCGGGGCAGGCCAGTCGAACCGGAGAAGCGCACAACAATAGGTGAATAGGTGTCGATTCCTTATTAAAGAGAGCAGCTCGAGCGCTTGTTGGAACAAATGTTCCCGTGACCATCATGCCCTTAGTATGCGTTGTGCTGCGGAAAGATGGCGTTTGTCGCTCTCACGGACCTGGTCGGTACGCGTCAGGAGTACCAAACGAGCCTCTGAGTGTTTCGAAGAGCTCGTCGGCCGGCTTCTTCTTGACGACCTGTTCGGTTTCTAGCAGCGGCATCTCGACCTAGACTTAGTGCTTCTCCAGGCCCTTGACTCACTGCTACGATATCTTGCTGTCATCTCTCAGAGGACATCTTTATCTCTAACACATCCGCTCACACCCTGATCGGGAAGCTGTCACGGCTCGCTGTTCGGTACGCAGATTACCATGGTCGAAGGAAGGGGCAGCGTCCGCAATTTGCGATTTACTCTATCTGAATTGTGAGCTCCTGTCCTTCGGTTGACACATTCCCACGAGCAGAAATGCTGCTTCAACATGGAACGTAGAGCGAGCTGTGGGTGGCTTCTGCACGCTGACTGATATCAGACTGAAGCAGACTGAAGCAGACCAACACAGCCATCCGGATTACCTTGCATACCAGACGGCTCGCTCAGCATGGGACGTGATCTGGGAAAGGCGTGCTTTCAGAACTACCTTTGCATTTGTACCCACTCCGCTGCTGTAGGATAAGGCATAGTGAACCCGCCGATACGCTGGCATTGGCAACAGAAGCCGAATGTTCCGTACCCCAAAGGTTAGTGCCACCAGTCTGCATCGCCTCGGTGGGAAGACGCTGTGCAAAGGTGATGTCCCATGCTTCATGTTATTGCATAGGCCTGGCCTAAGACGAGTCTCGAACATCAACACACAGCGTCTCCCGGAGGAAATCGGTCTGGGTGCCCGCGTTCCTCTCAAAGTTGACGCCGCGGTAAGCGTCGAAATGGCCCCCGGGGATGACAGACAACTGCTTCGGCTCGCGAGCTCGGGAATACGCCTCCAGCGCAAGATCGGTGGGCGTGAGCACATCGTTCGCCGCAACGGTCATCAGCAGGGGCGTCGGGGCGATTCGATGGATGAGATGTGATGGATCATGTGCCCGGAGGAGTTCGAGACTGCTTGGTGACTTAGTGCGGCCATTGGCGAACAGACTTGTCCCCCTTACCTTCGCACGGTTACATGGTTCTTCCAGTCGCTCTGCATGGAGACTTCGTCAGCCAGATTCTGCGGGCGGGAAGGTCATGCGATCTTGCCTTTTTCTCCCAAGCTGTAAAGAAGTCATAGCTGTCTGGTGTCGGCAATGCAGCAGGCTGTTGAGGCTGGTTTGTCACGATCGGGACTGTACGAGCCTCTTCTCCTTTCATCCTCGAGATTCGATCTGTACCCAAGTTAGCGAAGACTTGATGCACACTGAGCTTGCTCACCTTCTTGCCACAGATGGTACATGTCAGGTATTTGATCTGAGCGAACCAGTCTGGAGAAGTTCTCGAAGCCGTTTACCAATGGTCTACCCTCTGTCAGGCCAGGCCCATCTTCAGCATTCCCCGGAACTCACACTTGGCTTAAGACCGCCTTGACCTAGAGATTGGGTTAGAGAATATGCCGCAGTTTTGTAAATGTACTGGGAACAGTACCCGCTTGTCTGCCGCTCCGATCTGGAGCACATGACCTCCACTATATGATGAGCCCCAAATGCCAATCTTGGATCCGTCTACATCATCTAAGCTCTGCGCGTAGGTAATTGCGTCCGAGTAATCGCTCACTATCCTGCCATTAGTACCGGGAGATCCACCCAAATAGCCCACTTACTCTGCAAGCTAGGCACTATCTCTTGCCTGGGCTGGCCTTGCGCAGCATCGCTGGCTCCAAACCCCCGGTTGTCATAGACCAGACAGGTGAGGGGCAGTTTGGAGGTGAAGTGTTCAGCGAACGCATCCAGATCCATTTCTTTGAGAGCCGAGAAGCCGTGGGCCATGACGAGACATGGCAGCTTGCCCTTCTTGTCTGGAGACCTGTAAAACCATCCGCGGAGGATGACTCCGTCGGAGGTTTCAAATTCGATGTCTCGTCGTGGCATGTTCGAGCTGTCGCCCTGGGAGTCTGATACGAAGGAAATAATTTGATTCATGGGAAGAGAGGACGACTTGCTGGAACTGTTCTCGCGACTGTTCGTGAGGAATTGCAATTCAAAGATGGCCGACGCAGGAAAAATGCGTTTGTGCAGTCGAGCGGGGAACTACTGTGGAACCACACGGCAAACTGACAGCTGCCATCCCGTCAACAAGAGAAACGCACTCGTAACCACGAGTAAGGTAAGTGAGCAAGTTCCATTTCCAAACTACATCTCCATTCCTGGGATAGCGTTAGGCCTCATTGCTGCGGGGCTTCAGAGATGTTCCTTCCGCTGAATGCAGATGGCCGGCAGGTGGACGAGTCAGTGGTTTGGGGTAGACCGTCATACTGCATGAGAGCATCAGGAATCAGGATGGATGATCGACCTGATGGCAGTCATCGAATGTTGCAGACATTGAATGTCGCACGCAGACTGAGGTTCCGAGTCCGAGTCGTCAATTCCCATGCCAACTCCTAATCGGCAAGGCTTGATGGGAAGTGTTCGACGCAATGGACCCAGCGGGATCGGATGAGCCAGTAAACGCTTCCAATCGACAGACATTGCGTATCCCGAGATCTGTCCCGTGACGTTGAGCTTCGTGAGGATTGAAGGGGCTGGAAGAAGTGAAGTAGAAGAGTAGGAGGGGGAGCAAGGAGCATTCGCCCAAGGCTAGCGGCTCCTCTTCGGTGCCTATTAAGATAAGCTACATATTTTACAACACTGCACCATCCTTCATCGATTGGTCGGTTAGCTCAGTTGGTTAGAGCGTGGTGCTAATAACGCCAAGGTCGCGAGTTCGACCCTCGTACTGACCATCTTCGATTGTGAGCCCTAGAAGAAGCCCGAGCTTCTGTGTTTTTTGCTCTACTTAGGAATATTCGACACTCATTTTTCGCGGGAAGAGATTATAGGCATGCTGTGCCACCGAGCCATCGTTAGGTATCGTCTAGAGTTCTAAGGACAGTATTTTTGTGTACGTGACGCTCCTATCCGCCTGAAGAGTACAACGACCATTTTTACCTAGGTAGTCGTCCTGACTCTGATCTCTTTCCAACTGTTTGCTATCTCAGCGAAGACGCCGTGTTCATCAGTTCAGTGCGAGTCTTGTCTTGAGTGTGATTGTACCCGCGCTTTTTGGTGGTTCGTTGTTCTAGCTTGAGACCTTCAGAAGTTCCAGTGCTCCATCTCGGAACAGCAACTTGTACATGCTATGCCATCAATGGAGGTGTATACAACGACACTTACTACGGCGCGAAGCCCTGCGGCGCGAAAGAAGACCCCGAACTGTACGATCCGCAAAGTGGAACCCAATCATGGCTAGCAACAGCTCGGCCACATGAGTGGCTCTACCGATTCGAAATTCGAGGACCCGACGAATCGAAACAACCGAAAGAAGTACACCGGCCAGTCTGATATCGTTTTTGTAAGAGATGGCATATGGGCGTGTTGCGGCAAGACAACGGATGCTTCGAATCAGCCGAACTGCAGCGCACCATTGCTGGATCAAGCGTACGATTTAGGCTGGTCGCCTGCGCAGTCTCCTGGACCGATCGATGCGTGCGATATACACACCGCGACGTCCAGTCTTAGGACTTCCGTTGCATCGACAACATCGAGCTCTGCCAGACTCTCGGTTAGAGCGAAAGCTGTCACCCGGGGTCGTAGTGCTGATTGCCGCAGCAAGTCTGCTTGCGGCGAAAGCGGCGAATAGTACTAGGAGAACAGGCTGTCGTGAGCCGCAGCACCAGCGTAAGGCAGAAGCATGCTCATGAGCTGGATTCTTGACATTGCTGGTAATCCAGCATATGAATCGCAAATGTGGAGTGCTTTTCTGTACCACGTTGAATGGACGCGAGCTGTTCCTTTGCAGTCAGCACAGAAGACCAGCCTCGCACGTAGGCCTAAGGCACGGGGCGCAATGCCCGCCTGAGGTCACATCCGACGGGCTCGCGTAGCATTGGATACATTGATCAAAGTACCGAGAGCCCCAACTGACGTAGGGAGTTGCGTCTGCGTCTTCTTTGCTCGCCACGTTCCACGCAATGCAAGCTGCAGCGTGGCAGGATCCAGCTGCCGGTGCAGAAAGGCAAACAGCCGCGAGTTCCGTAAGATGTCAATGGCTCGCCGAGAGGTGATGGGTGAGTCTGGTGTATGTCGAGTGACTGTCGGTTGGAAGTACATGGCGTTTGTACAGGCGAGCGGCGGCCCTGGAGCGAGGAGTGTTTCTGACCGCGAGTGCACCAGCAACGAGCACAGCTGTGGCCACTGTGTCAGGAGCGAGCAACCAGGTCTGGCGCACACGCAGAAGCGATGCCGTGTGCATCTTGTGCCTGCACGCATAGCAGCTGCAGGCGGGTAGTTGTCATGTGGAGAAGTCCGCGGAGAGGTGAATGAGGTGCACTGGTAGTAGGTGTAGTGCCGACTCATCCGAGCCCGTGGAATACCATATGTGATACCATATCCGATCGCGGCCGATCCGGCTCACGGTCATGGCCCATGGGAGAGACGCCATGGCAATGATTGACAGCGCCGTACGAGGTGGTAGGGAGAGAGTCAGACGCACAAGGGAGAGGAATTGAGGTTGGCGGGTGCAAGAGCAGAGCTCGGCGCCTTCCCGTTTCAGCCTCGTGCGGTCGTGTAGAGTACGGGGAAGGGACGAGGCCCCTGCTAGGGAAGTTGCTAGAGGGGGGGAAGCGACACTGGACAGTGGACAGCTGGACAGTACGAAGCCTCTCATCTCTCATCCAATCCATGATGAGAGTCGTCTCGTCATCTCATCAGACACGCCAGGCGCAAGCAGAGCAGAGGGCAGCAGCGCAGTGACCAGCTGCAACGGCCACGCTCAATCTCAACCTAATCATCTCACTCCTCCGACTCGCCTCCACCACCATCCCTTGGCACGCCCTCGACCTCCCATCACACACCCCCATCCACACCTACACTCCTCTATACCTACACATCACTCCTCCCTCTCTCGCTCTTTCCACCACCCGCGCCGGGCAAACACTTTCTTTCACGCAGCCACTGCAACAATCGACAGCTACCTTACCTGAGGTATCATTTGCGCCGCCGCCATCGCCCTTCCTCAAGGTAATAAATTCCACCCCCGCCCGCCAGCAGCGGCAGCAGCTTTCCCCCTCTGGCCGACTCCTTGCTTGGCCACCTACCACCTACCGCCTCTGCTCTTCGCCCAGACATTGGCGGCCTCTCGGCTCTCTGCCCCGGTGTTGTATCTATATACCATCTGCAGCACTCCTTTCTACGCCACTTCACCATACATATACACCACTAATCCTGCAACTCCATTGCGACTGGCGCGTCTTGCCGTAAGTATTGCCCTCGAGCCTGCTTGGCGGCGTGCACATGCTCACCCCTACAGGCGTTCCGTAGTGTGTAGCGACGCGATCTGTCATGATGGATTCTTACCAGGCCGTCACGAACTGGGGACTATTCCTCGCCGCTATGGGTGGCCTAACTTACTACTACTTTGGTCCCACGCCAAAGCAGGGTATCAGGCCAGCGCCAGCTGCCAAGGAGTCGAGGAAGGAGAAGGAGACGAAGAAGCCGGCTCGAAAGCCAGCACAGAGCAAGAAATCCTATGCTCAAGTCACCACCGAAGAGCCGTCTGCCTCCGACTCGACTACCAAACCGCCGAGCCAGAATGGCAACAAGAAGCGGAAAGTCAACAACCAGCCTGCTCGCGAGGCGTCACCCGTCGCAGAACCGATCATCGACGAGATTGACATGAGCACGCGCCAGTTCGCACTGAACATGCAAAAGGCAAGAGATGGCATCCAGGTCAAGTCGGCTGGCAAGGACCAGACTCGCGTCAAGTCTGTAAAGCCAAAGAATGCAACGAACAACCAAGTGCTCTCCTCGGGCTCTTCACAAGCGGATGCTGAGGACGACTGGTCTCCCGCGGTCTCTCCCACCCTCACGGCTGTCGGAATTGATGACATGCTTGAGCCAGCTGCTCCCGGGCCATCTTCTCTGCGCATTCTGGCTCCCGAGAAGCCAGTGCAAGACAAGGCCAAGAAGCAGCCGAAACAGGAGGTTGTCGAGACGAAGAAGCAGCGGCAGAACCGCAAGAAGGCCGAGCAGAAGAGGCTGGAGCAGGAGGAGCATGATCGAGCATGGAAGCAAAAGCAGGAGCAGCAGCGGCGTGCTGCCCGAGAGGCCCGTGGCGAGCCTGCGAGAAACGGCATTCCTGTTGCTCCTGCTCCCTCCAACAACCCCTGGAGTGAGCGGAACGCAACTCGAGACACCCAGCTACCGGTCACCACCTCGGATGGTAGCAACGCCCAATTGCTGGACACCTTTGAAACGGAATCTAACAGCAGTTCCAACCAAGGTGCTAGCACTGCGGCCACCTCGACCACCGACGCAGCGCCGACTCGTTGGGCAGATGACGAGGTTGCAAGGGCAATCGAAGAGAGCGAGCGCGAGTCCGGTTGGAGTGAGGTCAAGAGCAACAAGAAGCCGAAGAAGAAGAGTGCAGAGGGCGAGACAAACGGAGACGCTACTCCCGTCGCAGCACCTGTTCCTAGCGGCAAAACCAACAAGCCGGCTGCCAAGCCCGTTGGAAAAGCTCCAATGTTCCAGGCCTTGCACGACGAAGGCGAGAACACCGCGCCGGCACAGGATGATGAACTGTCAGGGTGGACAGCATAAAGACGCAGGTTGCTGCTTATATTTTCGATTCACGGCATGACAGGCCAACAATTACATTCTGCGGGGTCTTGTTTTGCAGGCAGCTTTTTTGTTTCTCGGAGTGGGTTGGCACGGAGCGTTTCTTGAGGTTGGCGAAAATTGTCTTTCTATCAGGTCCAAGGGGGGAATCGCTGCGGTCATGACAAGTCTACAGTGGGGGAAAACGGCGTTTCGCAGGCGAACATGGCTCGCAGAGAGCAAGCGACGGGGTGTCGACGGAAACAAAACTGGTTCCTTGAGTAAGGTATGTATTGGCCAGCGCATGGGAGACCATTGACGCAAGGAAGAGAGGTAGTGCAAGACGTGGGTAGCTGTACTACTCGCATATGTCCAAACTGTTCGTCGCATAGTATCAGGATTGCTTTCAAAGAGAGGAGAGCAAGGTCTCTGCATTCGTCTGTTTAAGATGCACAACGTGGATGGAACCAATCATCCATGCTTGCGCTGGCTCGTACCGGCTCCACCGTGGTCGGTCGGTCTGGGCACCTAAGTGCCGCTGTGCAGTGCAGGGGAGGTGAGGTCAGCTTCTATTTGTGTGCTGCTGCCCTCTTCGGCGCGCCGCTTCTGTCCAGAGCAGCGCTGCGATTCGCACCGCACTGGGCCGGTTATTGTGAGCTGGATTGGAGGGAGAGGACAAAGAAGGTGTCGCGACTGAATCGAAAGGGTGGACCGGGAGTCTGGCAATAATAATAAGCTCAAGCTCAAAGCATACGGCAGCATCGCTACCAAGCTGCCTCCTACTTAAAAGAACAGGTGTCGACCTGCCGCACACAGTACACACTTCTCTACTCACTATTCGCCCTCACCCTGGCCCCGCTAACCTCGCTCCGCCTTCCAATATCCCTACTGAGGACAACTCTACCGTTTGCACCTCTGCCAACCGTCTGCAAAACGCGCTCCAGCCCCGCGTGCGCCGTCAGTCGGGTCTTGTAATTGCATTGCACACTCGGCAACGTCGCTCATTTGAAGACCACACGCAGCACGAAGAAGGACGTCGAGCTCCACACCACATACAACCTGCACCACTCCCATTCGAGCAGCGGCATCACACATCGGAGTCGGCGCAGGCAGCGTGATTGAGGCGTCTGCATCCGGACGAGCCACGAAACACCTACGAGCATCAATTCCTCCCCCAATCCTTCCATCATGGCACAAATCAGAGGAACCGCCGGTTACCATCTCGGCAATCAGCAGAACATGTCCTTTGGCCCCGGGCCTTCCAGCTCCTCTGCCACCAACGATCCATCCCCGCTGGACGCCATCCGAGAGCAGACGAGCAAGATTGAGGATTTGCTAGACACATGGTCAGACCCGATCAAGCCATACCTACCCGCCATTGGGCGATTCCTGATCGTCGTCACGTTCTTGGAGGATGCCCTGCGGATTCTTACACAATGGAGTGATCAATTGGAATACTTGCATCAGTACAGACACAGTGAGTTGCTCTGGACAGCGCGCATTCTCGCTGTGAGAGGCAGAATGCGGCGGGGGTTGGTCAAAAGGCGGTACAATGCTGACAGACTTGTGCTATAGTGCCCTGGGGCGTCAACCACATCTTCCTCATCGTAAACGTCGTTGCTATGACTGGTGCCAGTCTTCTCGTCATCATCCGAAAGCACAGCGAATACGCCGTCGGTGGCCTAATTGGCGTGGTCATCACCCAGGCGCTCGGCTACGGACTGATCTTCGACCTCAACTTCTTCCTGCGCAATCTCTCCGTCATGGGCGGCTTGATCATGGTCCTCTCCGACAGTTGGGTGCGCAAGAAGTTCGCGCCAGCTGGCCTTCCCCAGCTCGACGAGAAGGACCGCAAGATGTACTTCCAGCTTGCAGGCCGAGTGCTGCTCATCTTCCTCTTCATTGGATTCGTATTCGCTGGCCAATGGAGCCTGGGACGCGTCTTGGTCATTCTCCTGGGTGCCGTGGCTTGCGTCATGGTTGTGGTGGGATTCAAGGCGAAGTGGAGCGCCATCGTGCTGGTCATGATCCTGAGCATCTTCAACATTCTTGTCAACAACTTCTGGACGGTAAGACGAAGAACTCTCTCCCCAAGCATGCTGAGATTGGATATAAAAAATGCTGACATGCGTGACCCTAGCTTCACCCACACCACCCGCAAAAGGACTTTGCCAAGTACGACTTCTTCCAGATCCTCTCTATTGTCGGGGGTCTGCTGCTGCTGGTCAACATGGGACCCGGCCAAGTCAGCTTCGACGAGAAGAAGAAGGTCTACTAGATCAAGAGCCATCACGCTCTCAGCATGGGTCCGGGACGAAGACACGAATTGTTGTCGAGATATCATGGAGAAATTTTCGGGGGGGAGCAATCACCATCCACTGCGGACACTGCGGACACCGCGCAAGAAAGCAAAAGGCATTACTCTCCGCATCCAGCATATTTAAACTACACTGGGGTTTTTCGAGATCAGCGGGCAGTAAAAAAAGCGTTGATCTTGATATGTCTTGAGTTGTAAGGAACTAGACAAAGTTTTTGAGAAAAAAAGCTATGTTAGGTGTGCGAAATGACTGCGTCCTGCCCCATTGCCACACGTTAAAACGTACACGCCCATGCTCGCGGATCCCACTGCTTCATATCATCGAGGCTCTCGTTTCCATCGCTATCTGACGTACTATTGCTGATCGAAACTGTACCTCAGCCACTCACCGACCGCTCTCAAGCTCTCCCACCTCACCGTCTCATTCTCATCCTGCATCAGAGCCATGACCCTCGCCTTCAACCCCAACTTCTCCAACTGCTGCCTCTTCTCCGGGCATTCCTTGACCAGGAACGCGACGTCATTGCACCCGATCGCCAACACCTGCTTATCATTCTGCCACTCCTTGCCCAGAATCTCTCCCAATTTCTTACAGAGACGTCCCTGTTCTTCTTCGATGATACGGCTGGCATTTTCCGCCCAGAAGGATTGGTTCTTGTGTGGTGGGGACCAGCGGAGATGGCCGGAGTCCACTTCGGCGGCGTATTCATCAAACGTAGTCTGGGTTTTGGTGTACTCTTCGACCATGTTTGTGAGATTCTCGAGGTCTTCGAGGAGGTCGGGGTCTGTGAGGTGGCGGCTTTTGAGATTTGTGAGCACGGAGGGGAGTTTGGCGGGGAGAGCAGCTGGCATGAGGGCGGCTTTGTTATAAGAGAGAAGGTTGTTCAGCGTGCCGAGGAGGAGGCGGGTGGTCTTCTCTTTGGGGGAGATCCGGAGGAGTTGTGTATAGAGGGGAATGATGTCGTGCTCTTCGTCTAGGCCTTTGCCCACTAGCTGGCCTTCGAAGGAGAGCTGCCACATGGCCATGAGGATGTGGTAGAGCAATTGGAGTCCAACGCCGCTGATCTTCACGTTGGCTTCATTCATGCTTCGTATGCTGGCACTGGTGGAGCCGCCATTGTATGCTGTGCTGTCCGTATCCTTGCCGCCGGTAGCATTGCGAAGCACGTCAATGAGTGGCCCAAGTGTCTCTTTTCTTTGCTTCCAGAATTGTTGTCTAGCTTTTGAAGTTCGGAGAACCGCGCTGTATTCCTGTACTGCGATGTCTTGCAGATTCGAATCCGATGTTTTGGCGAGCTCGGCGACATAAGAGTAGAGCTTGGGCAGCGCTTCGTCGATCTCTCCTGTGGACTTGGGTTGAGCTACAACGGCGAGTGAGAGGAGCGAGGACAGTACGGAGGACGTGAGCAGCGGTATGGGGTCCTCTGGATTATTCGATTGTTTCAGTAGAGGGAGGAAGGGCTTGTATGGGTGCGGGTGCTTGACAAGAGATTCGGTCAAAGCGGGAATATCTGTGCTCTGTTCAGTCTCCTCCCAGCCAAGAGTGTTTGGTGGCTCAATGCCTACCATCAATTAGGTCGCCAGTCAGGACCAGCATATACTGCAGAATATCCGTTCGTTTTGCGGCGCTCTCGAAGATGCTCTTGCTACCCTGGGCATTGCCCAGCAGTAGAATGGTGTATGTCTGAACATCGCTCTCCACGGCCACCTTGCGCTGCTCTTTCCGCACCTTGTCTATCGCCTTGATCTTTTTGAGGTCATCGTCAGTGATTGTCTTGGCCCTCACAGCTCCATCCCACGATATGGGCCGCGCGCGAATGTTGTTCTGGAGGGAGACGATGTACGCCGGCGGATCGATGGACATGGCGAAGACTCTCTCCGGGAATAGAAGTGTACAGAGGCGTGCGAAGATTGGTGACGGGGCCGGGGTGTCCAGCAAGATGCAGATGCAGGTGGGAGCTCATGTACGTAACGCCAGCAGGCAGCTCGGAGCTTCAGCTTTGGGCTGGGGCTGGTCGATGATATGCTCCGCCGTAGCGCTACCGAGTCGCTAGGGCACAGCCGACTTCACTTGCGCGGCACGGACCTGAGAAACATCAACTCGACGTCGCACTACAGACTCAGAGGAAGGAGGAAAGGAGACTGCATCCTACATCGAGCGTCTTTTGAGGATACGGCAACCCTCTCGGACCATACTGGTATTTCTGAATCTGGCTCGTCTTCCGTATACATTCTGCAGTCTGGCTTCTTCCTCCAAAAACTCTTTGGACCGCACCACTGGAACCATGGGTTGAGCCATTGATACGCTTCTCCTCCATCCGCGCAACAAGTGCCCTTGCGGGTCACGGGAGTCCTCACACTGATGATCTGGTATCTGTTCTCACCCATCCGGGGCACCACTCAGCCTCCGCGTCTTTCCGCCAACCACCCCATTCGCAGAGCCTTCTATCGCCATGGCAAGACAACAGCACAGCATTGGCTCATCGCCATGCTGGTATCCGTGGCTATCGCCATGGGCTTCTCCTACCCAACCGTGCTGTTATCGACGAATCCTACGGCGGGCATCTCAGCACATCCACACCATGTCTGGACGCAGTCCAGGGCCGTCAACGACAGCGTCACCACAATCGATGTGGAAATGCGTCAAATCTGGATCCATGGCTCTTATATGAATGCTCTCGACAAAGACTCTTTGAAGCGGGCTTTGGCCGTACAACAGAGTGTAGTTGGTCACGACCGGCAAAGCGAAATCAACCCAGCCTTGGGTGACCAACTTCGATCTCGCACGTTGCAATGGGGCTATCACTCGCCATTGATGTACTGGAATAACTCTGCGGATGTCATAGACGCCGATACCGACATACTTCAGACGATCAACGAACAGAAACGGAGTCCCTCGTCGCTCAACGTTACTCTTCGTCCAGCATCACTTTTCGCCGGCAAGAAGTTTTCTCGACACCAACTGTTGGCTGCCGATGCACTTGTGATCACTCTGATGAATCAAGTCGACAGTGCGGTCGGGGAAGGCTGGCAAGAGAACATGCGATCCTTGGCCGATGGAGCGTGTAGCAGTTGCTCCCTCTTCCCAAGCGACGGCAACGTCACTCGACATCGCGTCTACCAATTCAGCTTCACACCTCTTAGTATACAAGAGCACATTGCGCTCACTTTCGCTTACAGCTTCATGGCTCTCTACGTACTCATCAGCCTGCGCAGGATGAAGGCCTTCCACAGTCGGTTCGGATTGGTAGTGACTGCCATCACACAGATGACTTGCTCTATCTTGGCGAGTTTCACGATCTGCGGCATGCTGAAAATCAACCTGGCTCAAATACCCCAGAACGCGTATCCGTTCATCGTCCTGGTTCTTGGGGTGGAGAATATGTTCAGGCTCATCAACGCCGTACTTGCATACCCACCGACAATGGCGACCGAGCTTCGAATCGCCAATGCTCTGGGCGATGTTGGTCCGATTTCTGTAGCGGCAGCGACACAGAATCTGACGATCCTATCACTGCTCTCGATGGTGGTGTCCCCTGGTGTTGCGGCCTTCTGTGCTTTCGCAGCGATTGCCACTCTCTTCGATGCTTTCTTCTTACTAACCTTCTTCGTCGCCGTCTTGAACGTAGACATTCGTCGGCTAGAACTGCAAGACGCGATAGCGGCTAGGCACAACCATCCACGCCATCGAAGGCGCCCTACTCCGGTTCATCACACCTGGTTCGACGCCCTCATTGAGGGTCGACTCCCATTCAGCACTCGCATGGCTGGCACGGCAGTCACGGCCACCTTCATTCTCTCGCTCAACTATCACTTCTTCGAGCATAAGGAGAAAGCGACAAACTTGCGGCGCCTTCTCGCAATTGTCCGCGGCGGCTCATCCAATGTTGTTGAGGCGGAGACATTTGCGCCTCCACCAATGAACGCAACCTTGACACCTGGAGAATGGATGCGTATGCAAGACTTCGACACCGCCAAGGAGGTGATGAGGTTCGCAAAGCCTGGCGCTGACAGCTTTGTTATTCGTCTCTTCGCTCCGTTGGTCGTAGTGCTGGGTGGATCTGACCGTACAGGTGTATCCCGTGGTGGAGAGGAGTGGACACACGCTTTGCGCAGCTTCGCAATACACCACTTATACCCAGTCACCGTCGCAGTTGTATTCATCGTTGCGTTTGTCGCCGTGCTAATGAACTTCCTGCTGTACAACGAGGCTGGCGACGAGGACAACGACATCGCTTGTAATCAGAATGAGGAGTCACTCGCTGCGCAGACGATACATTTACCACACAGACTCGACATAGTCAAATTGGCAAGCAGTGGAAGTGGACACTTCGTTGCAGCCTCGTTGGACAGAACGCTGTCGATTTCTGTCGCTGACAGAACAAGAGATGCCCACCAAACGTTTGCCGTACCATCTGACGTCCTCGGATCGATCAGCTGGCCGGTACACCATCTTGCAATAGACGAAAGTGGAGAGTGGATCGCATGTCACTGTTCAAACGATGGCATATTAGCATACAATCACACAACAGGCTCGATGGTTCTGAATCTCGTGCAATATCCGGACGATAATCCTGCCCTAGTGTTCGGTTATGCTACACTTCCGGCACTCAATGGAAGCAAAGAATACTTCATGGTGCTCACGTCTGGCGGTCGCCTCGCTATGAGCTGCATGGAGGATGGGAAATGCAGTGGTGCCGATATTTCTACTGTACCATTGGTCGGAGCAGCACTTCTGGAGACTTCAAAGCACGGCCGCCAGCTCTTGTCAGTCACTGAAGAAGGCGTTGTGTTTGCATACATTTGGAACGGTGAAGGTTGGACCGACGGCAATACGCACCGGCTCCAGGTCGATCACTCGGATGGAAGGCTGATCGATCCGGTCAAGCTACGCCTGTACTCTGACCTGGATACCGAGGTCGTAGTCCTTACAACATCCACGTCGATTCTTTTCTTGAACGTCGCCACGCTCACTCCTGTTGCCTCGTTCAAGGTCGCACAGCCAGGCAGCCGCATAGAGGATGCACTCATTGGCCCGTCTCGACGATGCTCGGCTTGCGGTCAGCTAGCACTGCGATATCTGGGAGCTACAATACACGAGGGTGCGAAAGATGACTGTCTGCTTTATACCTGGTTTGTCGGCGACGACGCAGATGCATGTATTTGCGTAATGCAGACTGTACCAGCTTGCAAGGCTTTCGCCGAAGCGAAGAAAGAAAGCCACACAGTCTCCAACGCTGGGGCGTGGAATGCTTCGAGGTCGCAGTCCATCCTTGGGCTAAGGAGGCGAAGATCACAGCATAGTGAGACTGTTGTGGACAAGCGCCGACCAACGACTTCAGAGCTGCGACAACGAAGGCACGCCCGTCAGAACGCACAAGCCAAGGATGGCGGCGAGCAGTGGGAGGCGTATAAGTTATCTGTTGAAGGCGACCTGCAAACGCTTGAGATTCCTTCAGATCAAGACGCTGAGCATGATCAAGATGCGTTGTATGTCCACAGCGCTGGGCCAGCTGTTCCTCTGGATTCGCAGACAGTGGCGGTTGCTTGTGGCAATACCGTCAAAGTCATCAGAGCGTCGCCAAGAGGGTCGATTTCCAGCCGTTCAGCTGGATCAAGTCAGGAGAGACAGTCGTCGACAACCTCAAGAAGGCGTTCTGCTGCTTGGAGGGCTCGATGAGCTGTGTTTCAATGGTAAATTTTGACTGAACCACAGCGCTTGCACGGAATACCGAAGCGTGCATGACCTGCCTGCCATTTCAATAGATGTCGCACATGATTCTGCAGTGTACGACCGCGGCCAGATGAAAGATTGTTTCGGCTTCTGGATCAGATTCTGCTGAAATTCCGCCAACGGATCAATAATACGTATTTACATGGATCATACCGACCCGACCTCCAGATCGAAATCGAGCCTTCGGGTGAGCTTGGTTTCAGTAAAACGCTCGAGCCATGATGCATGTTCTACGACTGGGGAACGCAAGTGGCTTCCGCCAATGTCTTCTCGTTTCTATCCCTCCAAACAAGTTAGGTATACTGCCATCCGTCACCAAAGGCAACCGCATTAATGCTCGTCAGCAGCCTCACTTCTACGGATCTCGTTCGGCATGTGACGACTGCATCTCGAGACCATCGCGAGAGTCGTGCCAGCGTCCGCAGATGTAGCCGCTGAACTGATTGGTTCACGCGACTTCACGCCACCGTCAGTGTCGGACTACGCGTGGCCCTACACTGTGCTAGTACCAAACAGGCGATCTCCAGCAATGCGTTCAGACATGGATACATGGATGAAGCACATAAATATAGCAGTGCGCCATCATCTGGTGGGACGCCTTGCGGCCTTGGTTACAGACATATTGGCTGTTGAAAGCCTCAAAGGCAGCTCCCTGCCCTCTCGGTCGTCGTTGTAGGTTCAGCTCTGCCAAACGGCCCTTTCCTCGCTATTGTAATTTTTGCGCACGAAACACTCACTGTCGTTTCCTATCAAAGCAATTACTGTGAGCTTTCAAGATGCAGTACAAGATCCTTGCTGTTTCGGCCTTTGCCGCCGTTGCCTCCGCACAGAATGCTACCCAATCCGCCGAGAATGTGTAAGTCCAATGTTCCGTAGCGAACAAATGACATTCGTCTTGACCGACTCCCACCCAGCGTTTCCGTCATCTCCGTCCTCGAGACCGCGCTGCCGTCCTCCCTCATCGCCGAAGCTCTCACCAACTCCGCGGCCGTTTCGGGGGAGATCGCTTCTCAATTCGCCGCTGGCCAGACACCTTCCTGGTTCAAAGCCCTTCCCACCGACGTCCAGACGTTCCTTGTACCCGGTACTGCGAACGCAACGAACGCGGCAGGAGCAGGGACGCTTCTCGCTCCCACCGCCTCTGCGAATAGTACCTCTACACGGAGCAAGAGTCATACCGATCTCACTACCATTACGAGTACGCAGAGTGCCAGCGAGAGTTCGAACGAGGCGACGGCGAGTCGGGGCTCTGCTACTGCTAGCGGCGCTTCTTCGACTTCGTCGGGTGGTGCGGCGATGCCTACTGCTGGAGGGCTGTTGGGAATGGGGTTGGCGGGAGCTGTTGGCCTTGTGGGTGTGCTGGCATTGTAGGAGCGACGTGTGTAGGGGTGGTGGTCGTCAGCAACCCTACGGGTTTGAAAGGCAAAGAAAGCATAGCGTTGGATTCATCTTCGGGGCTTGGACATAGGATTTGCACACAGAGAGGTAAATGACTTGTAATCAATGGCTGGTGAGATGTAGAGTAATGATCGAATGGTTTGATTCTCCCATTCTTTGAGAAGGGGGCAACTTCGCTTCACTGCACGCTCTTCCGCCTCTACTTTCGTTGCAGTTCGATGCAACATCAAGACGATGGATGCGATGGGAGTGAAGTTGCGTTGCCTTGCCGCCTTCCATTTAGGCTGTTAGCCGAAGGGATTGACACTTTTAGGATCCACGCGACACCCTCCCGATACGTCATTTGCGACTCGGCAGCAAATGCCGTCAGTATGAGAAGACATACCTACGATACATTATTGGACGAACGGATTACCCACTGGCAACACAGCAGTAGCAGTGAGGTAATCCCACGGTGTTTGCTCTGCTGCACCTTTGTTTCAAACCATCCCTCCCAAGCTCCTACCTTTCCTTCCGCCATGACTTCCACACGCACTTTGACTTCTGCAATCTCCAGGGCTTCTCAAGTTTCAGGACAGGTCAATACTTCTACCGCTCTCAGAACAAGACATCAATTCAGAATGGCTTCGACGACCCAGCACAAGCTCAACACAGGAGCCAGTATTCCTGCCATTGGGTAAAGAATCAAGATAGTCGGGAACTCTGATGATGGGAGGTTGACAAAACCTGTGTAGATTTGGCACCTGGCAAGACAAGGACGCTCAAGAAGAAGCGGTCTACACGGCATTGAAGGCGGGATATCGCCACATCGACACGGTACGTCGGCATGCCTCCATCCGCATAGAGTCGGAAGCTCATACGTCTCGCAGGCACGAATCTACGGCACGGAGCCAGCGGTGGGTGCTGGCATCCGCAAGTCTGGCGTTCCCCGCGACCAGATCTTCCTCGTGACCAGTACGTGTTATTAGAAGCCCTCACTCGAAGCGGACGACTCTGACAGATTGATGATGAAGAGCTGTGGAACAACGCGCATGAGCCTCAGGATGTGGAGAAGCAGCTCGACGCCAGCCTGAAGGACCTGGGCACCGATTACGTCGACCTCTACCTCATGCACTGGCCGAGCCCGTTCAAGGCCGGCGATGAGCTGTTTCCCAAGGACAAGGATGGGAAGACGATGACGGGAAGCGCCGACTACGTCGACACGTACAAGGCGATGGAGGCATGCCAGAAGAAAGGCAAGGCCCGAGCCATCGGTGTGTCCAACTTTTCCAAGGCAGAGATGGAGAGGTTGTGCAAGGAGGCCAGCATTATTCCTGCTGCGCACCAGCTCGAGATGCACCCTTGGCTCCAACAGGCGGGCTTCGATGCATGGCACAAGGAGAAGGGCATCCACATCACGCAGGTAGGCAGCGTGGGGAATAATGGAAGCAAGTGACCTTGTCATGTGAGCTGACACCGTGTCGAACAGTACTCTCCGTTCGGCAACCAGAACACCATCTACACCAAGGGGGAAGAGCTCGGCAAGTTGATTGACGAGCCGACGTTGAGCGAGATTGGCAAGAAGTACAACAAATCTGGCGCACAGGTAGCGTTGGCTTGGGGCATCGCGCATGGTGAGTAGTAGTAGCGAGGCTGATGGAGTCCTGGATAGCGCTAACGGACCGCAGGACGCTCGGTGATCCCGAAGAGCAAGACTGAGAAGCGGATCCAGCAGAACTTGGACAGCGACTTCAAGCTGGAGGCGGACGACGTCAAGAAGATTGATGGGCTGGACAAGAAGTTCCGGTTCAACGATCCCAGCGGAGGCTTCGGGTGGAACTTCTACGCCGACCTGGACGGAAAGCAGTAGAATAAAGGAGGAGTGTGTAGTGGAAAGGGCATTGTACTGAGTTGGGAAGAGTAGTGATGACGACGCAAAAGGACGGGGGTGATTTCGGGAGAGGGGGAGATGTGATAGGAGGTCGCTCCCTACCCCTCAGGGTCTCGAATGGCGTGCACGCCGTTGGGGGAGGAGATTCACGTGTACATGGCGATGTACAGATTAGTCGAGATGAAACGCAAGCAGGTTCCGAGGAGCAAACAAATGAAATGGGAGAGCCGGGAGGGGAGAGGCTTACGGCTGGTGGCTACAGATAGGGAATGGTGGAGTGTTTGTCACTTTCCCCTGGGCCGTGTGCCGTGTGCCGTGTGCCGTGTGCCGTGTGCCGTGCGGCCATTCCCGAGGTCCCGTAAGGTAGTCACGGAGGTGCGGGCCCGGGACTAGCCTCTCCCTCTTTGCCGCCGCACGGAAATGGAAGCGAAGGACACACAGCCCGAGAGCCACTCATGCTGCAAGGTTGTATGTACATCACCACCCACCCATACACAATACACCGGAAGAGGATGAACGAAACCCACTGTGCATGCGCGTAGAATCGTGGGCCTGCAAGCGCCGACAACCAGCGATCCATTCGCGCCTCTTCGCACGAGTCTGCCGGAGGCTCGAGCCCTCCTTCCCTCCCCTCGCCATCCAACGGCCTTGCGCTCGCCTGCCAGGCCCTGTCTATCACACCCTCACCGCACCCATCTGAACCAATCGTCCCTCGCGACACCAACGACAGCATCCCGCGCCGCCTGTCTCCTCTTCCGCCTTTGCCTGTGCGCGGTGCGCTGTGCGCCGTTTCGGGCGTGGGTTGGCTCCAACGCGCGAACGATCGCTTGCACCCCAGGCACCAACCACCAGCCAGCAGTTAGCAGCAGCCAGCAGCTAGCAGCCAGCACCAGCCACCAGCACCAGCACTGGCACTGCACCCTCCCTCCTCCTCCTCCACCACCACGCCAAAGTGGGCGAGCACCCGGCCTGTGCTGTCCTGTCCTAGGAACTCCCGCCAGTCTAGACAAGACCCGTCTTAAAGATACGAACCCACCATGGCGCACTCCCACCGCCTCTCTTCTGCCTCCCACTCCTCGTCCCTGGCGGACTCCTACTACCACGACGACTGCCTTTCCCACTACGCCGACCACCTGCCCTCGGACTCTGTCTCTACTGCCAGTAATCATAATCACCCTCACGCATCCTCGCAGCAACTTCACCACCACCACCCATCACCTCCGCCTCCGCCTCCGCCTCCGCCTCCACCTGCGAAGAACGCGAAGAAGAAGGCCTCCCTTGCTGCCATCAACGTTCCTTCATTCTCGACATTCCGATCCAACCTTCCCAGCGCCGTCCGGCAGCCGCCATACGCCGCATTCCACGGCCAGTCCTCACCGCGTGCCGTCTCCTTCTCCCTCACCGAGAAGTCCTCGCCTCGGCTTGCCGACCCGACCTCGAGGCCTCTGTCCCTGGGCAGTCCTCGGCCGCAACAGTCGCAGCAATTTCATTTACACCGCCAACACTCGGGGCTTGCTCCCACTCAGTTGGACGAAGAGCGGGAAGATCCTCACGATAGGTGAGAAGCTATCGCCTCGACAGCCCCGAGGGCAAATAACTAAGACATGTCCTAGGACCTCGTATTCGATCCATGCCACTTCGCATGGTCGGGACGACTCCATTGATTCACGAATCCCCAGCAGCGTACCCTCTTCCGCATACAGCAGCAGTCCGCAACACCCCGATCAGTCCGTACACGCAAAGCATGCTCACCGACCCCCTGCTACTCACGCGCCACACCATCCGACTTCGCCTATAGATCCTGTTGGTCAATACCCAGAAAGTCGGTCATCGATGCTTGCATTTCAAAAGGCACCTGCCCTACACATGGATGCGATAGGTCCCGTGCAACGAGTTGGGACGGACGAGTCCATGGGTGAAGCTACGGCCAAAGCTACCAAACCCACCGCCGGTGGCCTGGGTTCATTCTTCGGCTGGAAGACGCCGCAAAAGCTCGAGGGCGAATCGTCGCCCACGACCACTTTCTCAGAACGCTCTCTCTCCCCAGTGCCCTCTCCTCGCCACATCAAGACTTTGCCGATGGAGGATGGGAGACGCGCTTCGGCGCGACTCACGCCGCCGACGCTCGACATTCAAAAAGCCAATGGAGGCATTGGCTACTTCGAGAACCCTCAGACTCCGCTGCTCCTGGGCGCGAACAACGCTCATGTTATGGAACTTGAACGGGAGCTTTCACACATCAGCCAAGAATTGGCGGGCTCGATTCGAAGGGAGATGGAGCTGGAAGACGAACTGGATCGTATACGAGCAGAGCTTCCGATGCTACCACCTTCAGATCTTAGTCTTCGGAGGAGTAGTGACTATTTCTCGGACAGCGGTGCTAGTTCAACAAAATTTCCAATCACTGACGTGGACGCCAAGTTGGAGCAGCTAGAGAAACAAGTACGAAAAGTTGAGCAAGAGAAAGCCAACCTCAAGGTCGAGGCCGCTTCGCGGCTACAGACGGAGCTCAGCAGAAGGAGGGATCTCGAAGAACTTGTACAGACTCTCGAAGATCAGCTAGATCGAGGGAAAGCAGAACAGGGCCAACGGGGGAAGCTTGAGGAGTTGGAATCCATCCTAGATGAGACTAGGAGACGTCTGGGACAGGAGAAGATGACCAAGGAGAGCGTGGAGGATCTCTACAGTGCCACGAGGGAGGAACTGGAGAAACTGAGGAATGAGGCTGACAATCTGCGAAACGAGGTTGTTCCACAGCTGAGGGCTCGCGTCGAGGGCCTGGAGACCGAGGCCGCTGACAACCAAACACTCATGTACGAAAACACACGCTTGCAGCAGGAACTTGCGGCGTTGCGCGATGACAATCATTCCAGATTCAATAGCATCGCCGAAGAAGGCGTGGCTTCCGCCATCAATCCGGCGCGGATCAGCCTGACCAGGGGTGGTTCGCTGGCCAGGAGCTCGAGCTTGCGGCGTGGTGGCTCTGTCAATCAAAAGGAGGGTGGCCGCCCGCGCGCTGGATCTACGAGTGTGGGCTATCCCGATGGCGTCCGAGAAATCGAGGATCAGCGTGACGCACTGCACAAGGCTCTCAAGTTGCTGATTAAGAGATACGAGAGGCAACAGAAGGAGCACGAGCGGGCAGTCAAGAAGCTGAGCGTTGCGAGGGACCGAGCCGAGCAAATTTCGCCCAAACGCACAGCATATTCCAAAGAGGTTTCTTTCCTCAAGGAGGAGGTCACGACCCTTCGCAAACGCACAGAGGATGCTCTCGAGCAGAAGTGGCAGTATGAGAAGAATTTGTCAGGATTGAAGATGGATTTGGACCGTGCAGAGCAGGAGACCCGAGGCCTACGAATCATGCTTCAGGAAAAGGACATTGATGCGCCGAGCGAACGCAGCCATTCCATCTCCGGCTACTCTGGAACGGAAAACGAAGAGGACGAGGAGCTCAAGCTAAGCATCTCACGTGCGGAGAATGAAAGAGATCACGCGCGCCAGGTGGCCACAGAGTACCGCCAGAAAGCCCAGGCCGCAAGTGATAGCAGCAGTGCTTCGGAGCTGATGAACTCGGCGAAGCGAATGGAGGAGCTCGCAGAGCAGCTCGAACGACAGGTCCAAGCGAACACACAACTCAGGGATCGACTTTCGACGGCGGTTGCAAAGGGTGAGCGGGAACAGAAGGACTCGACTCGCCAGATTGAAGAGATGCAACGTCGCTTAGCCGGCATGGAAGATAGCGTACTCGCTGCGCAACAGCACTCGGAGACGACACTGGCCAACCATGACGCCGAAGTTCGACGTATTGAGGACGCGTCCTCGCCGCAGCTGCAAAGGCTCGTAGTCTCGATTCCAGAGCCCCACAAACTCAAACTCGGACCGGCATCACCGTTGTTGAAGAAGAGTCCAAAGCTTGGGAGCAAGAAGCTCAGTGAGACCAGCTTGCTAGAGGCGAGCCGAACACAGATGCTGGAGCGCAAAGTGCGCGAGTTGGAAGGCCTGCTCCGAGAGGCCGAGGAGGACATGCAAGTCGTCGTTCAGAGAGTCAACAAGAGCCAGATGGAAGTCGCCGATCTCCAGACGGAGCGTGACGCAGCACTCGTGCAGATGCGCAAGCTCCAGAATCTGATCATAGAAGAGAGAGAGAAAGCGGAGGCCTTGTTCGTGCCACGGTAGACCGGGATGAGCGCTTGCGAGGAGACGTGGAATTACTTCACACCCGACAATCATTTTTCATCATTAATACCTACGACAGCAAGGGCGCTTTGGGAAGGAAATGGTCAACTTGTACAGTATGGGAACAGGAGGTCTTTCTTGTTTTTGTTGCGATTTAGCGAGCAGCATCTGCATCCGACGGAGCACTTTAATGGCCATGTCCGGCGTGGCATCGGCGAATCGATCTTGGTACCTTAGTTACTAGACGCCCTACGGCGGGCGGGCTTTGGAAGTAGTGAGTGAACTTGTGTGTATGACGATGTGCAGTCGACACATTCATTACCTTATCGAGCTTCAGATCCTCCCCTGCCAGCTTCTCTCGATCGTGGAAGGCACCTCCTCCCATACAACCACGGGATGACCTTGAAACCTCGTCATCCATCTTCAATATTCGATTCGAGCCACGATCACGGCCGTAGTCGATGCCAGATGAGCTTTGTGTCGGAGACTGGACGGGAGCGACGGATATCGGCAGGTGCTCAACTGCTGGTGGTCATCAGGGACGCGTGACATGCATGCCGGCCGGCTGGGGGCTCGTCGATACTGTTAATATTATTACAAGCATTACCCTATATGCCGACCGCACAATGCAGAGCGCAAAGCAAGGCAAGCAAGGCTCCATCATCATCATCATCATCATCATTACCTCCACAGCCATCCGATGATGACTTTTTCTATTTCTATTTCCAGTACCGCCAGACTGACTGACTGACTGACTGACGAGCATGCTCGCGCCCGCAAGACGATACAATGGCGTCCCCCTTCAAGGAAGAATCTTGGGCCCACACGCAGAAACCGGGAACGAACTTCTGACGACGGCACGACGGGGGCTGTTTCCATCCTGCTCAATTTTTTTTGGCAGGCCAGAGCCTGGATCTTGCAATCCCATATCACCCATCTCGCTTTCGATCGCTATAGCTTTTTTCTGGCGCTTGAGATGAAGCTCCTGCATCACATTTCGCCCGGCTGCTCTCTTTTTGGGCGCTTGGACAGTTGGGGGAATGGGAGGGGGAGGGGCCCAAGATGGGAACAAGTCTCATCCTTCGCCACCTTGTTCTTCTTTTTTGCCTTGCTGGAGACACAATTCGTTCTTTCGCTCGCTCCCTTGAAACCCCCAGATAGATGGGCCGTGATTTGAGCAAGACAGACTGACGGACCGTTGGGGAGATGCACCGAGGGTAATACTATTGTTGGGATGTAATCACTACCGCACCGCGAGACCCTTTCCTCACCCTTTCCCAAATGCTTCAGCTGGCCGCTTTCACTCTTGTGGCATCGAGCATTGTCGCCGCGACCGCTGCTGCGTTGGCTGCTTCCCTCACGCTGAAGCCCGACTCGGACCCCAACGCCGTGCAGTCGTTTTCGGTGGCGAAGCAACAACCACTGCCCTCTGCGGTACAGTCGGATCTGCCGCTGGCTGTTTGGGCGGCTGCACAAGCTCTTGCTGCCCACTATCCGGACGCTTCACCGACACCGGGTGCATTGCCTCCTCAGCCGAATAGTGTCGTGATCAACGGAGCCACTCTCGGCGTAGAGCCTGGTGTCTGGCCGACCCCGATACTGCCCTGGACGAGGACAACTTCAACGCCGACATCACGCGTAACCACAACCTCATCGTCCGCATCGACTTCGTCGAGCTCGACGCCTATGCCAGTCCCAAGCCATCGATCCGCGCATCACCATGGCCCTAGCGAGAAATTAATAGCGGGAGCGATGGGCGCGTTCTTGATCTTGATCGCCTTGGGGCTGATGTCGACGGTCTTTTGGATGCTGTGGCGGAGGAAGAATACAACTGGTAGCTACTTCAAACCCGTGAGGTACTCGATCGCATCAATGGCCGAGGAGCCTCCAAGAGATCGGATACGCGGAGGAATGCGGGCGAACCCGGAGACGTCAAGCCAGCCAGAGGAGGAAGAAGGCCTGACCCAAGACGCGGACCACGAACAAGACGAGGACGAGGACGAGGACGAAGCAGCTCCGGGACCGATCATTCCCGACCATAGTGGTCCGACCCGCCAAGCGGACGGTACCCCATCGAGTTATGCAAGTTTTAACCCATCCAGACGATCCGTCGACAGATTGCGGACCCGTCGCCTCTTTTCCTCGCGGAGTAGAGATAATGTGCGATCAGCAGAGCTCAGAGGCAACGCTCGTCCCGCAGAACTCGACTCGACTCCAAGCCTGGTACCGTCGTCTCAGGTGGTCGACAGATTGTGGTCTCCCAGGGCTAGTGACGGAGACGTGACCCCTCGAGCAACTACCCCAAGACCCCTAGTCGTGATGCACAGTCCCACGACGAGCTCATCGGACATGTTCGCATCGCGCACGGAGTCACAAGGAGAATCACGCGACGTACTCGCGCCCATCACACCTCCATACTATCCGAGCTATCGGGATCGAAGACCAGTGGACCTCAAACTGCCCACGGCCAATTCCCGATTCCGAGACCAGAGACTGTCGCCGATGGTGCATCTCCCGGACGAGTCGGCGCGGTCTCCCGGAATCTCACCTCTGATACAGGGACAGAGTCCCAGATCGCCTTCTCCCCGATACCGCGATCGATCGCAGGAGACGATTGTGCATTATCCCTCGTACACGGAAATCTCCGGGTTTGACTTTACTGGCAAAGGACCTTCGCGCGCGCCCCGTCGTCGAGATGGAAGTTCTGATTATGGAGACGATGGTTGGCGACGGGATGGAGATAAGGTATTCGGGAGGTATGAGCTGGGATGATGAGGAGGTGCCACTGCGTCAAAGTGCTGTTGACGCCGTGGGGATGTACATATTGAGATCTGTTGATGTACCTTAGGCGTGATACATTTTCCTTGCAGGCATCATGGGAATAGGAGCATCTGCCGGTCAAGTACCGAGGACAGTCATGTCTGAGCCGGAGAAAATAGCTTAATGTAATATTTTACCACTCGCATTTGGAATGAGATGAGTCCTTTCCCTTCCAGGCCTTTTCGTAATGCAGCTGCTGCTGGCTGGCCACTTCCTATTGACAAGGTCTCACGGCTATGTTTTCTAGTAGTAGGGCCTCGTTGGAGTCGACAGAGCTGAGGCGGGATGAATATCGTTGGTAGGTTGTTTTTCGATGGTCCATGTGTGAGAGTGATGCCAATGTGGAGGTGGTGGGATTCACCTGCGGTCGGTCAAAAGTGTGGCGCCAAAAATTGGCTGCTGTGGCGCACGCAACTTGGGATCTCCACCTTCTTCTTCTTCTTCTTGCACTCCGCAACCTACCTTCCACATCACTAGGTACGACCATCCATCACACAACAACACCGCCAAAATGGACTACCAAAATCGCGCCGGCTCCAAATTCGGCGGCGGCGGCGTCGCGTCACAGTCGAGCATCAACGCCGACCGCCGCGAGCGCCTGCGCAAGCTCGCCCTCGAGACCATCGACCTCGACAAGGACCCCTACTTCTTCAAGAACCACGTGGGCAGCTTCGAATGCCGCCTCTGCCTCACGGTGCACCAGAACGACGGCTCCTACCTCGCGCACACGCAAGGCCGCAAGCACCAGACGAACCTCGCCCGGCGCGCGGCCAAAGACGCCCAGCTCGGCAAGAAGCAGGAGGAAGGCTACACGGGCGCCAACGCGGTGCAGGTCAAGCGCAACGTGGTCAAGATCGGACGCCCGGGCTACTCGGTCACCAAGACGCGCGACCCCATCACGAAGCAGGAAGGCCTGCTCTTCGCCCTGCAGTACCCGGAGATTGCGCAGGGCGTGGAGCCCAAGGTGCGCTTCATGAGCGCGTACGAGCAGAAGGTGGAGGATCCGCCGGACAAGGCGTTTCAGTACCTGCTGGTGGCCGCGGAGCCGTACGAGACGTGTGGCTTCAAGATCCAGGCGCGGGAGGTGGATCGGCGGGAGGATAAGTTCTGGACGTGGTTTGATGGGGATGGCAAGCAGTTCTGGATTCAGATCAATTTCAAGACGGAGCGCGAGGAGCGGTATAGTGGTGTGCCCGGTCTGGCGCCCAGTGCGTTGAGGAGGTGATGAAGAGGGCAATTATCCAAGGTTAAAGATTGGGTTGATATGGAACTCAGGCAAGCCATTCCTTGTGAAGGACCGCTAGAGGAAGCGACAATGCTGTCGCCCTTGGGCATCCGTTGCGCCCACCCAACGCTCTTGGGCAATGCGACTGAGCAAGGGGGGGATCGACTGCGAGGAAGGAGATTGGAGAACAGAGGATTGTGCAGCACAGTGTAAGACTGCTTCTACGACCTTCTGAAACAGAAAACTTAGCTAATGAACATGAAGTCGATGACGGAGCACGGCCGCACGCACGGTAATTCCGTGATGACCTATCGCCTCATTCATTTTGGCAGACGGCCAGGGATGCCAAAGTCACCCGACTACAACATGGCAGAGTCCCTCTTTGAGCCCGACACAATCGTCCGTCGCCTCGTCCCCGTTCTTCCCGACATCGGTCTGCTCACAACGCCGTGTCTCCGTGTCGGGGCATTCCTCCTGTAGGCAGGTTGAAAGCGTCGATTGTTGGCGTCCACGCAGTGCCGAAGGAATGTCGTGTTTGTGCACTTCTCCAGCCGCGTATCACAGATTTCGCACCAGATCGGAGGAAGACTAACCGGCTCTGGCCTCGCACGCTTGCACTCCCGTCCCGCTTTGGTCACCAGCACGAGTTCTTCGTGGTCAAGGTCGATAGTCGCTATGTCTTCTTCACAGGCATCGTTCTTGCTGCATGACATGCAGCTTCGAATACCATCGTATATCATGTCCCGGAGAGGGGTGGGCCTATTGTCGATGGGGACCTCCGGACTCCGTTGTGGACCTTCGGCCTTGGTCTTGAATTTTTCAAAAGCGAGCTGTTCTCCGGCTCCCATCTGTTCACAGAAGGTATCAAAGTCAATGAACACCATGTCCTCCTTGTTTGCGGTGGGAGCATTCTTGACACTGGTAGAATCCGTGCGCTCTCGCGGCTTCTCGCATTGGATGCACTCGCTCCCTTCCAAAATCTGCGGCGGCGAGAGAGCTCTGCGGCGAGAAAGGAGCGTAGCGTTGTGCAGGCTCAGATGTCCAGGAAAGTGATTTTGCGAATCCTCTCCAGAAGCTGTACAACAGCCTGATGGTATCGAGTTGCTGCTCAAGTCTAATGGTATTTGGTTCTGGACGTGGTCGCGAGGGAAGTACGAGACGTCTGGGACAAGGTGAACTCTCTGCCAGGCTCGCGCGGCTGCAGTATAAGACATTCGTTGGTTTGATGAGGTGCCGGACGATTGTTTGAAGGAGGACATATTTGCTAGGGCGTATTGAATAGATCAACATCTAATTCGTAGGATTTGACCTGGTGTTTGTTCTTATTCAAATATCGATGGATGGGTCCATTGTCCTAAAAGCCGGCGGTCTTATGAAGGCTTGCCCTCAGCGTGGGTAGGAACCAAAATCCAGACGTCCCGTGAAGACGGTAAGTTGGGAGGCACTCCATCGACAGCACCTGGAGTAAGCATTATTCTGGCGTCTGGGAACAACCTGTCTCGCAGTCTAGTCGGAAGTCCACTCGACATCGTCGAAAGTGCGAAAGAAGATCATCTGCTTGGCGCAAAGACTACAAGCCTTTGGCCCCTTTCTCCACACGTGTAAACTCTCGTCATGTTCCTGAACGATCTCGACGAGTTTCGATACTGCCTGCACGAGAAGCCCGTGCTCATGCCGAAGAGCCTGCACGAAATCTGCCATGGACCAGTGCTTGTCTGCTGTCCAGTCACCGCATTGCGCCGAGAACCAGTCGTTCATATCGCAGCTGCATGCTGCTGGGTCCAGTTGGCCAGTAGTTCTTTGGATCTTGACGCGGCCGGTAGCCAGGAGCGTAAGTACAGTGGCGTCTGTGACGTACGACCAGCAGTCTTCCGACGAGTTCCAGTACCAACTATAGTGTAGGATCTTGATCGTTCTTGCTGCGCTGGTCTCATCCTTTTGATCGTTAATCCACCGATGTAAGTTGGACGTCCCTTCCTGCTGACGGAGATCCAATTGGAATGTATTCGTCTCGTAGAATTTGGGAAGCATTGTGAACAGCCCGGCGTGCAAAGTCGGACAGATCTGTGAGTGCACGGGCAAGCCAGTTGTAATGTGGTGTGGCTCGGTACGAGCATTTTCGGGGAACGAATTACGGAGGACCGGCGATATTGGACTACTCTCGGCAGCGGGATGGCAATAAATTATATTTCTCACTTCGGCCGGCAGATGATCAAACTGTACAGGCCTTTGACGAGCAGCTTCGCTGGAGCATCGAGAAGCGGAAGAGCTCGATGTCGGCGAAAGGGGTTCCTCTTCGAGAAGAATTTGAAGCGATGCACGACTTGGATGCGACGCCGGTAACTGCTCCAATGCAGTCTGTAACCACAGCACGGTGACCAGGCTTGTCCAAATCTCTGGTGCTGGTCTTTGGAAAGCTCGGACCTCGTGTTTGCTGACGGGGGCGCCATGCTGCAGAGGATGAGATTTGGATCGAAATTTGGCGGAGAATGTGGTATGATGGCGGATGTCTGGGGTTAGTCTACATGTATTCCGTTTTTCGATCTTCATAGCAGGCATAGTGGCAGATGAGTGTGGGAGAGACTGGAGACGCAGAAACAAGGACCAACCTGCGCGAAGGCGTGGCAGCTTGCTATACGATGAGGAAGGAGCAAGCCAAGCGCAGTCCTCATGGGTACAGCAGAGTCAGCAGAGCTGGCCTGTCACCAAGACAGACATCCAGTGGGCATGAGGATGGCGCCACTGTATGTTGCCATGCATGCCTAGGACCAAAGAGTCTACAGCTCCTCTTCGTCGTGAAAGGTTGGAGAACCCATGCTGCTCTGCAGGTCACACTACCGCCGTCAGCTGAGCGGTGACGGGGTGCTTCTACGGGACAATGCTCTCGGGCGAGAGAACATACATCCTGTCGCGTAGACGGTGATTGCTGTGAGAGTCGGGGGCGATTCGTGAAAAGCCCGTCGTGGGACAAAGTGGTGGGAGAGAAGGGAGATCGTGGGAAGTAGACCTGAGGGAAACAGCAAGCAGGGTGGCCCGTGCACAGGGAAGGTTCCTCCTCCCAGCGCGAAGGCCTCTCCAATTTGACGCGTCTCACGTGTCTCATCGCTGTCAAGTTCGGATGGCCGTCCACAGTCTCGATTTCGAGATATACACAACTTCCTCAACACACCGACCAGCGTAATCTGCATCTCCGAAACCATCACTCCCCTCAATCAAGACGCTCACAATACCGCCATCATGCCCGGGCGAAAGAGCAATGTCTCGACCACTTCGAATGGCCCGGAGGAGGTGGCAGAATCGACACCGGCACGGCAGAGCAAAGAAAAGGACGGCTTGAGTGTAGAGGTATGCTGAGACCTGTCGCCGTCGTTTCCATTTCAACCTGCTAATGTTCATCAAGGACCTCAGCTTGCCCAAGTCGATGATTGCCCGTCTCGCCAAGGGAGTTCTACCTGCCAACACACAGATACACAAGGATGCGCTATTAGCTCTACACAAAAGCGCAACGGTCTTCGTCAGCTACGTCGCCTCAAAGTACGTCCTCTCTCCTCCTGTCCAGTCCTACACAATTCCTTTCGAGATCAGTATTGCCTGTCTTCTTTCATGCCTGACCTCTTCGCCACGACTTCGAAGGACTCCTTTGGCTGATTTTTGACAGTTCTAATGATAATGCTCAAGCCAGCGGAAAGAAGACTATAGCACCGCAAGACGTGATTGCGGCGCTTAAGGATGCAGAGCTGGAAAACTTCCTTCCACGCCTCGAAGCAGAGCTGAAGAGTACGCTTTGTGCTTTTACAAGTCAACCGAAATCCTTCAGAAGCTGACTTGATCCAGAATACAACGAAATTCAATGCGAGAAGCGGAACACTTACCGGCGGAAAGTAAAGGAGGAGAAAGCAGCGGCGGAAGCCACACAGGATGGTGCGAGTGCAGAAACCGCTCAGGTCGGCGAGGGTGGCAAGGCAGAGGCGACCAACGGCACTACAAATGGCCACGCAGAGACCGGAGATGGTGAAAGGCCCGCCAAGAAGCTTAAAGGCGAGAATGGCCACGCCGCGGAGCCTGATGCGGAGGATCTTGGTGACGATGAGGAAGCTGGTGACGAGAACGACCCAGACGACCACGAAGACGACGCTGATGAAGAAGTGGTGGAAGACGAGGTCGACGAGGAGGAAGAAGCGCCTCAAGACGATACCATGGAGGACGCAGATGAGGGTTTTGATGATGCTCGAAGTGAAATCTCGCAAGACTCTGCCCTTGATGATAATCATAGCGACTGAGGTGGCAGAAGCAGCCCGAAAGCACTCGGCTTCGATCTCCTATAGCATGGCATTTCGAAGCTGACTTGACGGTCTTCCTGGAGCTCTCAAGTGAGACTGATACCGTTCTTCTGATTCTGCTTTCTTTTGGACGCTCTAATGCTGCGATTTGCCTGGTGCTTGTCCGACATTCATCGTGTTACCCTAATGGTCGAACAGCCTTTCAAGCTCGACATCTCATCTCGTCATTTCTGTACAACCCTAATATGAGGATGGAACGATTTGGGGTCTCTACGGTGAAGTCAGAGCTATGCTCGTGTTTCCTCGGACGAGATCTAGCTTTACATGACTACGGCCCAACAATCAGGGAAGGCAAACAGCATGTGCGGGTGTTGTTGTTCTGTGAGAAAGCACCTATGTTATCGTGTGCCAGCGATCCGATTTGGACACATGTTATTCCGAATCATTACCAGGAGACGAACGCATTGAACCACGATGCCAGTACCGGCGACGAGTCGGACGGCGCCAAGCAATAGGATTCTGTCCCTGTTACCTGTTGCCTGTTGCCATCGAGCGCATCCGGACTCACGCCCTTGGTAGCGGCCCATACGAGAAACTTTTGACAAAGGTGTTGACGATTGGTATCCATTACCAACGTCCTCATTCAGATGGCTCGCTCCGGACTGCTCGACACAACACTTTACAGCTTACAAGTTGCCACGGAGATATGCAGGTTCGCACTCCAACGCAACTTGCCGTGGAGTTTCTTTGCCTGCAACCGCGCCTTGCCGCCTTCAAATGCCTGCTGGATGGCAAACAGTACTTTATATCGGATAGCTTACAGTCCGAGTATATCGGACCTCCTGAACACAGATCGCTTCGTATCCGAATATGGACCTCGGCGGGACCCTCTCGATCTGAATGGAATGTAGAGTAAGGTATGCGACCTTTTGGTCGTTCTTTGTAACGGGAGATTGGGTGTATTATCCATTCGAGAGGAAGGGCAAGGACTTCCGGCATCTCCTACACTCCCTGCGGCAGCGGCTGTATCCCAAACGTGTTGATATGGCGCGGGTCGGTAATGATCATCATGTTGACGTTTTCGAAGGCGACAGTAGCATTGGGGAGGACTAGTGCGTGGATGGAAGCGTTCGATGGACAAGAGTGAGGCCTGCCCGTAGGATTTTGCCCAAGGTGCTCGGGATGACCCGTTCAAGCTTCATAGTTGTATGGGTTCTACCCAACCAAAAAAAATGTAGAGGGGTTATACCCAGTCTCTACGATGCTATCTGGGCAAAATGCGTGCCCGGATCGATTCCGTCAAGCTTTACCACGAATGAGCTGTCTGCCAAGCTCCCACGACCACAAGCGCCTTGTCAAGGCGAGCCTCTGGGAACGCCAATCTCGGGAACCGAACTCGAATCCGCACAGCCTCCAAGTAAGAAGGGCGCCAAGAGGAAGAGGAAGAAGGCTGCGGATGGTCCTCCACCTGCTGATGCTAATGATGATGATCGGCCTCATGGGGCTTAGGGTATTAGTCACATCCTCCTTGCCGTTGAGGTACCGCCGCTTGTGCTAACTGCCATTGCTTTCGCCAGGATGATGGAGAGGGTCGGCATAAAGTTCTTGCTCGGTATGATTGGGACCTTCGCTTGACTTCTGGCGATGCTGACCTCTGTGTAGCAAATTTTACGTTAGAGATACTCCTTAAGGACTCCGCCATAATGTGAGACATGATCCTAAGTCCGCTGAAAGTTCACTAGCCCTGTGACGGGCTTTGGGCGGTGGCCTGAGCTTACAAATCCGCAAAATGGTTTTGCCGGTTTTGCCACCGCACCACCACACTCTCACACACTGTAATCGCAGTGGTTAGGCACTAATATACTCGCTATCGACTCGCAATCTATCTATTAGGTCCTTTATTGTCTACTTTGTTATTATACTACCTTAGGCCCTCGATTTATAGCTCTATCGGCTCTAGATTAAGCTTTAGATTTATACTAGATATACTTACTAGCGAGTCGTATAGAGCCTATATAATACTAAGGGCATTCGCTATAGTATTAGAACTCTATAGACATACTTATCGTAATAGAGAGTAATTACTCGCTCTCGAATTAACTATAGTAGTAACGTAGTACTAATTAAGCGGATTACTAAGCTATTCTAGCTATATACTATTAGCGATAAGAAGAGCTATGCTATACTATAGCTTAATAGCTATAATATCTCTTTAAGGTAGTATTAAGAGCTCCGCTATACTTACGGCCTTAAGCGTCGACTAGAATATAAGGAATTAGAAGTAGCTACTACCTACGTCGATAAGGTACTTCGAGTAGTACTAATTAATAGGCAAACCTAAGACTTTAGCTATCGCAAGCTCGTACGAGAGTTAAGAACCTACTAGTATATTATAGATAGGTAGGGAATCGACTCGTAGCTAACTCGTAGCCCTCTTCTTACTATACTAATGCCTACTAGGGACCGTATCTACTAGATTTTATAGCAAATTAACGCTCTACTATATAAGCTTCGCGAACCACGTAATCGCTATCCGAATAGGCTACGGTACGTACGACTAAAAGCTAATAGGCCTAACTATATCTAGTTAATTAATACCTTCTATAAAATCGAGCAATTCGGCATTTAGATTTACGCCTATATTAACGTCTACTTACGCCGGATTATCTAGTTCTACGTTAGCCTAATAGTAAAGACAAAGTACTTAGTGTTTTCGTAGTACTATACTATAATTAACTATATCTAGCGAGTCCCTTAGCGAGTCCGCTCTAATTAAGGTATCGAGACACCTATACTAGTAGACGCCTATCTACGGCTTCGAGAGCTTATCGAGGGCCGTAATATCGACTTTATTAAGGCCTTCTTATATACTATAAGTAAAGGTAATTAGACTATTAAGTACTAGTAGGGCGAGATAGCTAAATTAGCTATAAATCGCTAGAGAGACCTATTTAACTAGTATATTAACCTACACCTTTTCGAGGCTACTAAGCTATCTAATCGACTCGCCTTCCTCGTAATCTATACTCTAATTATACGCTATATAGTTAGTTACTTTGTCTTAGAGTAGAATCGGTACCCGGTACGAGTATAAAACCTTAAGAGCTATATTAGTAGTATACCGGATTTGCTCTACGAGTATCTAGAGCTCGAGGACACTACCTAGCGTAAGTATCTAATTAACTCTAAGAGTCTAGCGAGTACTACTCTTAAGTAGTAGATAAACCGGATAGACGGCTATAGTAAGCTCCGTAGGTAATTAAAGAGCTTTCTATATTAGTACTAGGTAAGTAGCTCGAAATTAGACCGTACTCGTAGCTAATTTAGCTATACTCGTAGTAACTCGTAGCTCTAGCTACCTACCTATAGAGTTACCTCTCTCTTACTCCTACGCTAACTACGCCTCGCTATATATAGACCTTAGCTTATACCTACTATTAAGTCTGTGACTTAATAATCTTATAATGTATAAGGATCACTTGTATAAGGCTTAATCGGTATTAGGCTCGTTAGTAGAGAGGTCTAGTAGAGGAAGAGTAAAGCGATAGAGTAGTATAGTAACTTAAGGGATTGTATTCTAAGTAGTAAGATACTATAGTAAGTTAAACATACCGAAAGCTAGAGGCATTCTTAGTGTTCCTATATACTTCTATCTACGGTAGGTAAACTGATTAAACTAATTACTAAGTAGACTAATTAAACTGATTACTAAGCAGACTAATTAAACTAATTACTAAGTAGACTAATTATACTAATTACTCTTTACTAACTACCTAGTTAGTACTCTACTATGTCTGCCTTAATTAGTCGTAGCTATAGGTAACAGTCTAATTAACTCGTAATACTATCCCCCTTCTAGCCTAGCTTCGTCCTAAAGCTTCCGTAGTTATAACGAGTATAACGTCCCTCGTCTTCCGTAAGGTAACGATATCTTCTTCTTCCTCTACTTGTCGAAAGAAGCTCGCTACGGAAACCGAAGTAAGCGGTATCGAAATAGCTCCTTATTTAAACTATAGAAAAGTCCGGTACCCTCTTCCCGATCGTCCTAAGTGTATCGTAGGTCTGCGATCCGGTAAGTGTTCTAAGTGCATCCGGAAAGGGTACAAGGACTACGACGTACGCGTCTTCTATCCTTAGTAGAAAAAGCTCCGCGATACTAGGGAGAAGCTTTGTCTAGAGATCGAGAAGATCGAGAAGGAGAAGATAAAGTTAAAAGTACGTAAGGTGCGGCTAAGGAAACAACTACGCGTCGCCGAGCGTCGAACGGATACTATAGTAGCCGAAGAGTTAGACGAGTTAGAGGAGGCTAAGGCGGTCGAAGCCCGCTTCCTCTCTATCGAGGACTCGTCTAGCGTAGAGGTTGTCGAGCTAACCGAGTATTACGAGATTCTCGAGATGCCTCCTAACGACTAGGCGCTTATTAGTAGTTGTTCCGATTTCTTTTAGGATCCGTATAGTGGAATTGCCGGAGAAGTTAGTAGTAGTTCGTAAGGTTGCTTTTTAGTTCCTAGGTATTTTCTAATTCGTCGTATCCTTTCTATTTAATAAGGTATCGCTAACCCTTCTTCTTTAGGATTTTCTCGACTTCGAATTCGTTTTCTTCTTCTAGTATATATAAAAATGTTTCCTAGTAAGGTGTCTCGGCGTCGGCTAGTTCTAAAAGAGAGATATAGAACACGGGATAAATCTTCGTATCTACCGGTAATTTAAGTCGGTAGTTTACTAGTCCTCGGGCTTCTTTAACTAAAAATAGCCCGACTTTAACGTAGTCTAGTTTCTTTGTTAGTTTCCGACTTCTTAAGTTCTTAGTAAGGAGGTAGACCTTATCCCCCTTCTTTAGCTAAGGCGCTATTTTTCTCTTCTTATTATATAGCCCTAAAATCCGGTCCTAAGTGTCTTAGATTACGGATTATAACTAGTTATGCACCCGTTTTAGGTCTTCTAAAGCGATTATTACCTTTTCCGTATTAGGGTGTAGTCTCATTTAGTCTTATTATAATCTAAACGTCTTCGGATTCTTCCTAAAGTTAGTAAAGAATAGTATATATCTAGTAGTTTCGGAACGATAGTTGTTTAGTATAAGCTACGCTATTAGTAAGAGTGTTACCTAATTGTCTTATATAGTATTTATATAGTGTCGAAGGTATTGTTCTAGTGTTTAGTTCGTTCTTTCTGTCTAGCCGTCTGTCTATAGGTAATAGGCTATAGACAGCTTATAGCGTATCCCGATTGTTACTATAAGTGTTTTCTAGTAGTTCGAAGTAAATAGCTTGTCTCTGTCTATAATAAACACTTCTAGGATGCCGTAGTATCGTACTAGTCTGTCTAGTATAAGGTATCCGAGTTGCTCTACGCTAGCCTTTTCCGTTATAGGAATAAAGTGTATATATTTCGTTAGTCGATCTACTATAACTAAGATTATGTCGTAGGTGACTCCGTTAACCTTGTCCTTCGAGGGTAGTAGTTTAACGATAAAGTCTATTATAACTTCGTCCTATAGTTAAGTAGGTAGAGTTCTAAACTAGATATGTCCGTATTTAGCGTGTCTTAAGGCCTTATTCTAATTGTATATTACGCACTTCTTAATATATACTACGATTCGGTACCTTATGTATAGAAAGCTAAAACTTCGCTAGACTAGTTCTATTGTCTTCGTAACTCCTAGATGTCCGTACTCTAGGTTATCGTAATGTTATCGAATGCATTCTTCCTCGCGATCCTTTAGTACCTAATATTTCCCTTATTAGATTAGGAATTGTTCTTCGTTGTCTTAAAGAACCTAGATAATGTTATTAAATTCCTTCGTATTAGCGCTTAGACTCCCGTCTTAGTTTGTTCTAAGTATGTTGTACTACACTTGTTCCTTTCCTTCTATATAGTCGCTATATCGGCTTAGTACGTCGGCTCGACTATTGTCGCGTCCTAGAGTATAACGGATATTAAACTTATACTAACCGAGCAGTTCCGACTAGCGGACCTGCCTACGTGTTAGCGACTTTGTCGTAGTAAAGTGGGTAAGATTCTTATAATTAGAAAGAATCGTTAGTCCTAGTACTCCTTCCGCGTAGACTCTCTAGTACTATAATACTATAACGATTGCAAGTAGTTCCTTATTATAGATGTCGTAGTTCTCTTCTATAGGCGTTATCTTTCTTAAGTAGTAGGCTACTAGGTGTCGTTTCCTATTATGCTTCTATATAAGGCATACTCCTATAGCTATGTCTAATATATCGGTTTCGATCTATACGGGCTTCGTCCTATCGAACAGTCGTAGCGTTAGTACTAAAGCGTATTGTCCTTTTAGTCTCTCGAATACTTATTATTATCGTGTGCTCTATTCCTATTTCTTGTCCTTTTAGGTAAGCTCCGTAAGAGGTTTCGCTATCTTCGAGTAATCCTAGATAAACTTTCTATTATAGTTCGCTAGGCCTAAGAACGATTGTACGTCCTTAACGTTCTATAGTTATAGCTATTCTTCGATAGACTTAGTCTTCTTTAGATCGATTCGGATTCCTTACGTACTAATAATAAATCCTAGGAATTTAACTTCCTTCTTATAGAATTCGCATTTCTTAGGCGCTGTCTTAAAGTCGGTAGCGCTAAGTCGTTTAAATACTTCCTAGACTTGTAATACGTGCTTTTGTAGTAAACCTTTCGTATAGACTAGAATGTCGTCTACGTAGTATATAACGTAAACGTCGAGGAGGTCTCGGAGCGTTTTGTTAATAAGGTCCTGTTATAATGTAGGTACGTTCGTAAGTCCTATAGGCATAACGAGAAATTCGTAGAGTCCGTATCTCGTTCTAAATACGGTTTTCTATTCTTCTCCGGGTACTATTCTAATCGAGAAGAACGCTTCCCGTAGGTCGATCTTCGTAAACTAGTCTACTCTAGTAAGGCGGTCTTATGCTTCTTCGATACTAGGTAATAGATACCTATTCTTAATTGTGACTTTATTTAGTCTCCGATAATCGATAACTAGTCGTAGTTTGTCGGTTCCTACTTTTAGTACGAAGAGAATTAGAGATCCTACGCTTAAAGTAGATTTCCGGATCTATCCCTTCGCTAGTTTCTCCTTTAGCTATTAATTAAGGGATTTTAGCTCTTTTTCTAATAGCGGATAGATAGGTCCCTATAGAGGCTACTTCCCTAGCTAAATATTAATCTTATAATCCTATAGTCTATACTTAGGTAGGGCGTCTTTCCCTTCCTCTTCCTAAAAGAGTCTCTTATACCCGCTATACTCTTTAGAGATATTAGGTAGTATACGAATTCTACTATTACTCGTGACTTCTTAGCCCTTCTAACCCTAGTTAGTGCCTATCCGAGTTAGTTCCAGTCTCTAGATTCCGGTCGTCGTAAACTACGTCGTACTAAGTTGTCTTAACTTATCTACTAGCGAACGCTACCGCTACGTAGGGTAGATGTCGATCGTGCAATCGTATCGCTTAAATCTAAGTACTCCTCCTTTCTAGTCGATCGATAGGTTATGCTTTCTTAACTAAGGTATTCCGAGTACGATATTATAAGTAGCTATCTTAGTAACGTCGAACGTTAGTTCCTCGTAGTACTGTTAGATTGCTAGTAGTAACGGTATCGTCTCTCGTTCTACACTCGGTAGGGGTAACCTATCTACTATAACGAGTTTATACTCTCTGTCTTTCTTCCTTCGGGTTGCGATCCCGGATCTTTTTATAAATAATTTAGAGGCAAATGTCCCGCTAGCGCCTAAATTAACTAGCGTACATGTCTTACGGCCGTTAACGATTACTTCCGTACGGAAGACTACTATTAATGCTTAAGCATTCGTTACGATATTAAACTCTCTTCGGTCGCTTATTCCTAGAGAGTTAATCCTTTTCCCGAGCGGCGTTATTCGAGCTACTATCGGATCTTTCTTCTCGTTTTATAGAGGTCCTCGGCTATCTATTACTTAGCCGGTAATTTGTTATATACCTAGCGATTTTGTACGTATTATGCCTAGGCGAATGCTTCTACGTAGCGTCGTATCTAGGCCCGTATTTCTTAGGTAACGACTTCGTTATTCGGTATAAGATACCCGTAGGGTGTTATAACGCTTCTAATTAGGGGTTTCTCCTAGATAATTCGTCTAAAGTCTTCCTCTACCTCTATTCGTAGGTATTTCTAGGCGAGAAAACGTATCCTAGAAAGTATATTATCGAATTAGATAGAGTTAAGGTATCGTTTTCCTTTAATCTTTAGAAATACTTTCTCGTTACTTCGCGCGATTGCGATTACGAGTTCCTATACTTGTCTTAGGGCGTCTACCGTAAAGGTTATAATTTCTCTATCGTCGTCTTCCTCTATAATATCGCTTTCTTCCGAGGATTCTAGTATCTCTAGTTCTTCCGGAAGCTAAGGTAGCTGTTCGTTACCTTCTTCCTCGCTGTCTTATTCTTCCTCGGGCGTTAGATTTTCCTTGTCTAACTCTTCCTCGCTAACTAGTATAGGTAGCTCGAGTCTACGTAGCTCCTCTAGTATAGGTAGAAGTCGGTATCTATCGGTCCTTTCTTCGTCGTTATCGGGCTACTATCACGGTGTATAGGACCTAGGCAGCTTACCCTAGTAGAGGCAGGGGTAGGGCGGCATAGCTACACGCCCCGTACCTACTTAGTAGATAGCGTTAGGAGATAGACACGCTATTAACATTATTATACTACTTCTTAGCGCTTACTTCTTACCGCGAGTACGGGGTAACTAGCGCATAACAATCTAGTAGCTAAGAAAACTAACCGCCTACCGGCTACAAGCCTACGAGCATTACACGACCGGGGAACTACGGCGTATAGCGCCCTAACCCGGTCAAACGCCCTTACCTTCCGCCGAACCATTTATACGGTGTCGGATCGGAACCTCTACTACGCCGTACGTAACGATACATAGTGTCGACGCCTCGACGGATACCTAGTACTTACGACTCTACGACATACCGCCTAATCTCGGGCTCGTCGTAGCAAAGTAGACTCGCCGCTACTCCTACCGTCGTACGTATAGCTCTTCCCGGCTCGAAGGCTTAGGAACGTAGATACGAAGGAGACACGGCGTACGACTACCGGCAGTAAGGGTAAGTACTTACAGCTCTACGCCGGGAAGTAAGAGCTAGCGTAGGGACTATTAATAACGCCTAATTAACCGAGAGGCCTGCCTTACCCGGGCGTACGATACGCTTACCTCGTATAGTACTACTTAACTACTCTCTACTCTCCGATCCCTAACCGTTCTACTTCCCTTGTCTATTACTCTTAAGCTCTATACTATTAGCTCGCTTAGCGAGTCTTACTAATTTCCCCTCGCCGTACCCGCCCTAGTTAGTACGGCTCCTACTTCGCCGATCTAGCCTTAATCGACCTATTTAACGTTAATCGCGGGTTCCCTAAACTACTACCGGAGGCGATCTTAGTTAGCGAATATCTTAAGGCGTACTTAGTAGACGAAGCTAGGGCGACGAGGTTCCGTAAGAAGTATAAGAAAGCCTACCTACTCGCTTACTTCGTTACTTACGAGTACCCTTGCTCGATTACCCTAAAGGATTCCCCTACATTTAAGCTCTAACGCGAAAAACTCTACCTAAACGACATCCTTTCGACCGAACGCTTCCCTTAGTAGTAGGCCGTTAACCCGAGCGCCCTAACGGCGGCGGTCAACAAGCTAAAGTAGTCTACACAAGGCGTCCTTACTAACAAATACTACCTTTCCCTTTGTACTCGCCTAGAAGATACGGAGCAAGCGAAAGGTCACGTATAGGACGCTTACTAACAAGTCGCTCGCGTATAGGACGCTTACGTACAGGCCGTTCGTACATAGGACGCCCCTACTCCGCTACCGAACGTATTACTACCGCGTAGAGTATTACTAAAACCACCTTAACAGCCGGAGCTAATCGGACAATCGCTGTGTCTACCGGTCGAATCGCTACTACGTCCGTCTATAGCGTTACCCTCTCGACGCCTTAGCTCCTTAGCCCTTAAGTATTTAGGGTACCGACTCTTCTCTACTCGTCGTACCCGCGAGGCGTCCCCCTTAGAAACTACGCTCCCCTTAGAGTACGGTACTACTCTCCGTTCGCGCTCGGTAAGTAGGAGCCGTTCCGACCCTCTACCCGACTCCGACCTAGTAAGGAGAGTATACGCCGAGTCGGTTTTGTCCCCCTCGCTAGTATAGTTAGTAATCGTTAACTACAGGTCCGACCTGTCTAGTTTACCCTTTCGAGACACCCCGGAGTTCATACTACTACGACCCGCTATGTACGGAAACGCGAATGTACCGCTAGGTAGCACTCCCCTTACCGAGAAGGTTACTCGTAAGGATATCTAACGCGAACAAGCTCGTAGAGACCGTAAGCGTATTCGGGAGCGGGCTGCTCTAGTAGGTGTCTAGCTCGACGAGGCGGCGCTAGACTTTATAGTAGTAGAAGCAGTAGTATAAGGTGCCGCTACACCCCCGAGCGAGCCTCCGGGAGGCCCGCCTACGGGACTGAATTTAGTAGCTCGACACGAACGCTATTAGAGGTATAAGCGCTTAAGGCGGGCTAACCTACTAATTAATAGTACGAACAGCTAACCGTCTAACCGCCTACATCCGCGACGGGGCGACAGGCTATAGGATTCGGGATACTCCGAGGACGAGTACCGCGATCGCGGATAGCGTAGACAACTACGCCGACGACGCCGCGAAACTTTACTCCGTCCGCCCCCTAATAACTATACGCGTAGACGACGCCGCGAATCCTTACTCCGTCTATCGCCTAAGAGGCGTAGGGATCGCCGCCCGTACGCTAGTCGTACTCCTTAACCCGACCGATACAACTAATACGGCCGGTATAGGCGCTATACCTACCGACGCTACGGTAAGGATAGGGACCCGGATCCCTCGGATAGTAATAGTAGCGAGGAGGATTCGCGAGATCGACGCCGAGACGAACGCTATGCCCGGCGACGCCGGTAGCGGCGCCGAGAGCGTAACGAGTCCCCGAGCGACGATCCCTCTAGTAAGGGAGACTATCGCCGACGCCGTCGTCGAACTTATAGGCGCCGAAAGGACCGCCGCGGCCGGGCCGAAAGCTTATATAGTAAAGAATCGGACGTTAATGTCGGCCGCCGTAGTACTAAGATACACTTTAATCCGACACGCCTTAGGTTCTTCGACCCCTACCTCGGGGAGGAGTACGGACAAGGCGACATCGTGATCTAGGGTAATAAGACATACTACCGTAGCGTTAACATGTTTATCGATACAATCCGCGACTACGTTACGGTAGTACTAGTAGAGGAGGTTCGCCTAGGAATTCCGTAATACCTACGTAGCGTAGCCGCGGCATAGTATACCGCCCAGCTCTCACGCAAAACTAAGGCGTAGTTACGCCGTAGTACGGAGGCCGAGCGCTAGTATAAAGCCCTCTACGATAAGTTCAAAATGTCGGTAACTAAAGTACTAGACCTCCTAGATTAATAGCGCTTTAGACCTACGGAGGTGAGAGCCGGGAAGCCGGTAAGCGAGTTTATACACGCGGTAGTACGCTACGCCTAAGCGGCCGAGATAGGGGCGTAGGACAAACCTAGCCTTATTGCCGCTTATCGACGCCTCGACCTAAGATTCTAGCAAGTGGTTTTTATACTAGATACCCGTACGACCCTAGACGAATTCGTAGAGGTGTACGAGAAGTAAGAAGAGACCTAGTAGCGATTGTACCAGAATGGTAAGTAGACCCCGCGCTCTAACGACCGAGGTAATCGGTAGGACCGCGAGTATAGAACGCGTAGCGATCGATACTCCCGCAACCCTCGTAGTAACGCCTACGAGACTCGACGCGCGCTAGATAATAATAGATTCCTACCTAACACGTAGCCGTAGAATACTAACCGCGAGCGAAGCGACCGCGATCTACTACGATAGAGGTAGAGTTAGACACCTAGACAGCCTTTAAGCGAAGGTACGGATAGGTAGGGGGATTAAGGCGCGAGGCGCGAGGACTAGCCGTAGGGCGAGAGACGATCGGGCTTTAGGCCTCGTAACAACTAGCGGCGGATTGACAACCGAGCTAGTAGTTACTATACAGACGAGGCGCCCCTAGAAGACGCCTAGGAACTCCCGTAGGATCCGTAGGGCGAAGACGACTAGGGCTTACTAGACGGGATGTCGGACGAAGACGAAGTCTAAGCGTACTTCGTCGTAGTATTACTAGCCTCCCTATATACCGCGGTAGGCGACGGGTTAGGGAAACCCCTACCTAGTACACTATAGCCCTATGTTTCGCCCTAGATAAAGGACTGCCGCCGGTATAGACTGTCCTTCCCCTCCCGGAACAAACTATACGCCTACCTTAAGTACTGTAAGGTATCGGCTAAGGTACTAGGACCGGCTACGATCGTTACCTCGACAGCTATAGAGGACGTACCCGAGGGATATACCTTTCGCGGCTAGCGCTACATAACCTTCAAAGCCTAGCTCTAGCTAGATAGCCCCTCGTCGACGTTAATACTAGACACGGGGTGCTCTATAACTATAGTAGACCGAGGATAGCTGCTTCGCGTAGTACCTAATATAGTAGTACACCCTATAAAGGAGCCCGTCCGTATAGGAGGAATCGCCGGAGGCGTAGTATTAACGGAGTTCGCTACAGTTACACTGTAGATAGTAGGGCGTACAAACGCGGGAACGGAAGCCTTGTTAGCTATTAAGTAGGAAATTCACCTAGTCGACGACCTTAAGCCGCTCCTATTACTAGGAATAGACGCGATCGGCAAGTAAGGTATGTCTATTAACGCGGCTAATCGCCGTGTTACGGTAAGCTACTACGTAAGCGCGACCTTCGACATCGTAGTTACGGCTAAGGGGCGCGAGGTTTGCCGCCTAGTACTAGTTCGTTCTACGACTACCGTAGCCCCGGGTACGATACGGGCGGTCCCGACCGACTACTACGGACAGCTGCCTAAGGGGCGAGATTACGTAGTAGTAAGTATACTATTCTTACCGGGCGCGATAGTATACTATTAGATAGTCGACGCTAAATTTATATATACTTTATTTCGTAATAACACCCCTAAGGAGATTATACTTAAGGCGAAGTAGCGGCTAGGCACTATCTACGATTAGGACTTTTAAGGCGCCTACCGAATCGACGCGGAGTTATACGGTTTAGCGGCGCTAAATCCCGAATTACTAGTACTACACCCGGAGCAAGTCCGGAAGCATTCTAATAGTATAACGGTGTACGGTAAGGACACGGTAGCCGACTAGCTAGCGGCCGTCGCCGAAAAGCACCCTCTCCTATTTACGGATCGGGGTACGACGGTAGACATTCCGCCGGAGCGTTATATGCCTATCCCTATAGAGCCGAACAGCTATAAGCTACTTAGCCCGCCGAAGGCTTACAATGCCGATAGGCGTAGCCGCGAGGTAATAGACAAACTGTACGAAGGACTCTACGCCTAGGACAAGATAGAATTTACCTAGTCGCCTACTCCTTTTAGTTACCCGGTTTTTGTAGTATAGGGAAAGACGACGAACGAGGAAGGCAAGCTTGTTAACAAGCTACGCGCCGTAGTGGATATTCGCGACCTAAACAAGGTATCGATACCCGACAGTTACTAGGTTCCCTTATAGGCCGACATTTTTAGCGGCCTCGCGGGGTGCTACTTTATTAGCACTATAGATTGCCTCTCCTTTTTCTACTAATAGCCGGTTAAGGCGAGCGACAGGTATAAGTTAACGATTAACACTTACCGTAGGTAGGAAACCTTTAAGGTAGCTGTTATAGGGTACTATAACTCCGTCTAGTATGTTATACGCGAGATCGACCGCTTACTTCGCCCGTGTCGGGCTTATACTAGGGCGTTTATAGACGACATCGTCGTCTTCTTACGGTCCTTCGAAGACTACCTAGTTCACCTCGATAAGGTCTTCCGTCGCCTAGACGAAGTACGAGTAAGCCTTAGCCCGAAGAAGACCTTCTTAGGCTTTCCTTTAGTTACCCTCCTAGGCTAGTATATTAACGGCCTCGGGTTAGGTACGGACAAAGAAAAGCTAGCAGCGATCCTTAACATCCAGTTCCCCGACACTCTCGTACGCCTTAAGTACTATCTCGGCCTAACTAACTAGCTCCGATAGTATATCGGATACTACGCCTAGCTTTCGGGACTATTACAAGAGGAGAAGAAGCGCCTACTACGCGACGCCCCGCCTTTAGCGAACGGCCGCAAGCGATATGTTAACGTAACGAAGGTCGGCCGCGACAAGGACGAGGCGTATATAGCCTAGTTACATAACTCCTTCGCCCTAGTATAGGATAGATTTCGGAACGCGGCGTTTCTCTACTATTACGTCCCGGAGCGACAGCTGTACGCCGACGTCGACTCCTTAGTAGAGTTCGGGTATAGCTACGTCGTATATATAGTAGAGGGTAACCCCGAGCCCTATATAGAGGACGGGTATAAGGCGATACAATTTCCCCGTAATAAGATATAGGTTATTATGTTTCTAAGTAGAGGTCTTACCGACGCGGAAAAGAGATACTAGCCGACTAAGCTCGAATACTCGGGAGTAGTTTAGGTGGCTCGTAAGGTACATTATCTTCTTTACGCGGCGGACAAACCTCTAATATTCTTTACGGACTACTACGCGGCGGTAGGGATAAGCGAATAGGGCTTATTAACTACTACGACGTCTACGGATCGACTTAACCTTAAGCTAGTACGGGTAGCGACATACCTCTCCTAGTTCCGGCTTAGGGTAGTGTACCGCCCGGGGCGTATCTATACGGTTCCGGACGCCCTTAGTAGGCTACTCGGGGATATAGAGACGCCGAAACTTACGCCGGACGCCGAGAACCTAGATCCCTTCGCCTTTTACACTATACTAGTAGAGCTAGAACCCGCCTTTAAGGTACGCCTAGTATAGGCGTATAAGGACGATCCCTATTAGGCTCGGGTACTCTACCTAGTAAGGAGAGCCTAGGCGCGTAACGAACTAGAGCGCCGCTACGTCGCTAGCGGTAAGGGCGCTAACACGATTACGGCGCTAGTTCCCTTTACCGGCTTAGACTCTCTATAGGGCGACGAATTTAACAGCCCCTTAGGCATCCGGTTCTTTAAACGAGGCGATCTACTGTTTTATCGTAATAAAGCGCGCGGGAACGAACGCCTATACATCCCTACGAGTATAGAGAAAGAGGTATTCGAGTAAGCGTATAACTAGCGCGCCTACTAGGGGTTTTACTACTACTACGACCGGATATAAGCCTCCTTTTTTATCTACAAACTTACGAGGCGACTACGACTGTACCTTAACTATTATGTACCCTATAGACTGAATACTATACCGCGTTACCTTCTATATGGCGAGCTCTAGCCGATCTAGAAGGCGGCTACGCCCTTCTATACTATAACTATAGATCTAATTACGTACTTACTAGAGGTAGACTACCGAGGCGAGCTAGTTAATTCGACGCTTACGACGACGTGTAAGGCAACGAAAAAGGTCGTACTACTCCCCGGTAGAGAAGATTAGCCGGTAGCCCGTTAGGGCGACGAGTAGATCGACCTCCTCTATACTATAGATATAAGCTTTCTAACGATACTAATCGGCGACCGAGACCCTAGGTAGCTTTCCGAATTCTTTAAGGCGGTCTTTGTACGCCTTAACATCCGCTTTTTAGTAACGAGCGTATACTACCTATAGATAGACAGCTAGTCCGAGCGGACAAATTAGACAGTAGAGATCGGCCTCCGCTTTTAGATCTTCGAGTATACCGCGACGCTAGGAGCGAGGAACTAGGCTACATTCTTACCCTAGCTCTAAGCGACTCTAAACAACTTACGTAATACGACTACCGGATTCACCCCGAACGAGGTGCTTTATAGCTTCCGTACTAATCTCGACTCCTTATCGGGGCTTACGGACTTGCCCCTAGACAATGTAGCGCGTAAGAGAGCGGCGGTCTAGCGAGAAGTATAGGATTCGATCGCCTTCGCTAACGTAAAGATAAAGGACAGATACGATACGAAGCATAAGCCCCTACTTTTACGACTAGGCGACCGAGTGTTCCTCTGCCTCGGACGAGGTTACAACCTCCTCGGACAAGCGGGCAAGATAGTACCGCGGTTCGAAGGACCCTTTAAGGTACTAGAGCGAGTAGGCGCGTTAGCCTACCGCCTCGAGCTTCTACCGATTATAAAGATACATCCTATTATCTCCGTAGTATAGCTAGAGAAGGCCCTACTAGGTAATAACCCCTTCTTACGGTAGGGAAACTATAAACCCGGACTAGTAGTAGCGGTAGGAAACGACTAAGGCGACTTATACGAGATCGAACGCCTTGTAGTACGACGTACGCGATCGCGCCGTAGCTAGATAGTACGCTAATATCTTGTTAAATGGTTAGGCTATAGTACGGGGCATAACGCCTAGTACGATAAGGACGACCTAGGGACAGTACGAAGCCTTGTCGAAGAATATAACACGGCATACCCGGGGTAGGATGTAGTAGACAGAGTGACTCGTCGCTCTATACGCCGTTCGCGTAGAGGTTTAGACCCCGGCGTAGACGCTACGGCTCCTTAGGAGTCGTAGGCCGTACGCGACAGCTAGCTTATTCTTCTACATACTTACTACTACGTATAGTCGGCTTAACTTCGGAGCGCGGTTACCGTAATAACGACGCGCGACCGCGAAACCGCTATACTAGACTAATTCCTTTGCTATAGTACTTAGTAAACTATCGTATAGGCGTTAACATACCGAGCTTCCTCGAAGGCGTAGTAGACGAGGGCCATTCCGACCGCCTCCGCGACTAGACCGTACCCTATTTCCCCTACGATATTAGACAGGCGATAGTACGCGCTAACGCTTACATACCTACCGTACACGTAAACACGCCCTCGACGCCTTACGTTTAGCTTCCTAAGTACGCCCTAGCGCGAATCACCGTAGCGAACGCGAACCGTACGTTTATAAAGGACGCATTCATATACATTGTTAAGCTGCTTATAGGAGCCGAGGCGAGAACAAGGGACCTAGCGGACAAGCTGTTCGGCGACGACGAGACTAAGGTACTCGGCCTACATCTCTTCTAACGTATACTATAGGGACAAATCGAGCGTACAATCAACCCGGCGCGCCCGTAGGCCTTCCGCCTTACTAATAAGGTAGAGCCGTAGGGCTAGTAGTTTATTCCGGGCGAGTTTATAGTACCTTACCCTAACTACATCGCCTTAGTAGTAGAACAGCGTCCCTAGCTCGGTAGTAAATTACGCTCGCCGCTAAGCCGGCAAAACACCGGGGCGCTACCGTAACAAGGCGACAATAACAACAATAGTAGTATAGGCGCGTAACTATCTTCTATAACTTACTATAATCCTCCCCTATTATTATAACGGAACAACACCGCGTACTAGTAAGAGATAGCCCTACTACTATAGTAAAACGACACCGACAAAGGCGCGCAGCTTAGTAACGACGACACGGCGCTACCTAGTACAGCCGTACTCGATCTAACTAAGTAGGAGACACTCGACGCCCTACGCGCCCGTAACTTTATACGCCTCGTAGAGGAACCGGAGGACATATACGACCGCTAGCGCCGTGAAATTCGACAGGCCTATACTACAGTCGAGCAGCTCCTATATAGCGACCTAGCCTATCGTAACGAACTAGAATTCTATAAGATCGTAGAGG